GTGCTGAGTGGAAAGGAAGGATCACCTCCCTTGACCTGCTGGCAATACTTTGTTTGTGCAGCCAAGAGCACTATTAGCCTTCTTAGCGGCAAGGGCACATCTCATATAATAAAAATAAATAAATAAATAAAAATAAAATAAAATAAATAAACAAATTAGGATTATTCCTGAAGAACAGTGGACTCAGTGGATTAGTGGAAACAAAATGGATCTTGAATCAGATTTTTCAGGTCATGTTGCAGTTATGTTTGTATGAGCTCTTTTCAGTTCTTCGAAAATGTTAGCATTTACTAGAATTTCCTTTTGTTTAGATGGTGGTGGTTGGAGGCTTGGACAGAGTATATGAAATTGGGCGTCAGTTCCGGAATGAAGGAATTGATTTGACTCACAACCCTGAGTTCACAACTTGTGAATTCTACATGGCTTATGCAGACTACCATGACTTGATGGAAATTACAGAGAAGCTGCTTTCAGGTGACATATGCAATATTAATTTAAAAAGAATAAGAATCCCCAGAAAGAACTGTATATTATGTTGTATACTCCCTTCTATACTCTTGTAGGGATGGTGAAACATATTACTGGAAGCTACAAGATCACTTACCATCCAGATGGTCAAGATGGACAGGCATACGAGATAGATTTTACCCTTCCCTTCCGACGCATTAGCATGGTGGATGAATTGGAAAAGGTTCTAGGAGTGAAATTTCCATCAGCTGAGTCCTTTGAAACTGAAGGTTAGATGGTGTTTATGCATGTCCTATTACTCTTAACACACAGAGAGCAAAGATTTGAAGTCCTCAGCCTGCAGTCTGTCAGCTACTTTTTTGAAGTGGTATCAGTACATGGGATTGATTTGCTCTCAATTTGTCTGTTACATGAGAGTCCAGAATGAAGTGAAGCCTTCATGCCATGCAGTTTTTAGCAAGTTCTGACTCTTTCACCTCTTCATTTGTGGAGTATATATAATGCTGTATACTCAGAAGACGTAATCTGAGGAGATCTTCATCTGTTAAAGAAACACAGCTTTTTATTTCTTATTTCTTCTGTCTTTTGTGCAGTTGAGTCTCCATGCCTGTGATCATAGGTTAGGAGTAAGATTATTTTGGGCATTCTTCAAAGTATGTGTATCTGCTATTTTATTCTTGAAATCATAATTTGTAAGGAAATAAGTTCATAATGCTTTTTAGTGCTTTTTTTTTTTTTTAAATAATAATATCTGACAATTATGATGCAGGATTGTATGTAACTATTTTCTGATTTTCTGAAATGCGAAATAACTTAGATTTTAGTGTAAACTGATAAAAAAAAAAAAAAAACTAAGCCAAAAAAAATACTTCTGTAGTGTTTGAAACTGACATTTGAGGTAATATTTTCCATGATGATTTCTACTGTTAATGTTTTCTACTATCGAGATTTAAAGAACTACTCTAAAACCTTTTGAAGTATGCAGGAAGAAAAGATGTGGCTGCCTGGATGGCTTTTCTAATTTTTTGTCTACAACTGTTTTAGAAACTCGCAGGTTCTTTGATGACCTTTGTGTGGCAAGAAATGTTGAGTGTCCACCTCCCAGGACAACAGCAAGGCTTCTTGACAGAGTAAGTAACAGTGATTTTTTGATAGTCCTAACATATTTCAGGATCTATCTGTATCAATAGAAGTCTCTTTAGAACAAGTTTAGCTGCATGTGACAAAATACACTGACATAGGCTAAAGCTGTTTCTTTATGACAGTGATAAAACTTGTTTTATCAAAATCCTGTTGTCTGCACTAAAACGTAGTTGACTGATACCTGCTTAATATGAGATCTAGAGAATTTTAGCATGAAAACTGGTTTCCTGTGCCCATAAAAAATCTGCTTTATCCTTATGTCAATTTTTTTTCAAGAGATCTGTTTGTTTGTATGTATCTTATCAAACTGGTAGGCTTCCCATATAGTTCTTTCATCAACTGTATTAAGTCTTTTCCTTTGTACCCAGCATATTGCCTTATAGAACCTGGTAACAATAATAGTAACGTAATTTCATTTGCACATCATAACAAAGGCCAATAAAAAAAGCAGCAGAAAAAAAAAACACAGCTATGTTACTGTTTCTTATCCAGCTAGGACATATGTGCTCTATTAGTGAGAACATTGCCATGATTAAGCATTATTCGTTGAGAAACTTCTCAGCTTCATGGTACATTCTTCAGTACTGAAGAGAAGGAATTAAGACGTTTGGGAAAGGCAGTGCTGGAAAGTGTTACTGTACTCTACACAACTTTTGCTTTTGTTTTCCCAGTTAGTTGGTGAATTTCTGGAAGTCACTTGTATCAACCCAACATTCATCTGTGATCACCCTCAGATCATGAGTCCTCTAGCCAAATGGTAAGAGTACGAGACAGTTAGTATGTAACTCCTTAATCCTCTATTTTTACACCAATCCAGGTAGGTTCTTGAACTGTGAAGCCTAGCATCCAGAGAACAGGTGTTCTCATACTGAGTAGTTTAAAGTTTTGACAGCTGTTACTGCTAAATGTGGGTAGACTTCTTGACGTCATGTATGTGATCTATTCTTTTTGTAAAGCTATTTATTTTAAGGTGTGGTTGATTTGCCTCTTTTGATGTAGGCATCGCACTCATCGGGGACTAACAGAACGTTTTGAACTCTTTGTGATGAAGAAGGAAGTGTGCAATGCATACACAGAACTTAATGATCCTTTCCGGCAGCGGCAGCTTTTTGAGGATCAGGCCAAGGTAGGGTGTTTGCTGATAGTGAATCAATGATTTAGGCACATAAGTAAAGAGTATTTTCTATGCCTAATTCCAAATCTGTCACTAGTCCCTACAGCTGAAAAGGGTTGTTAATACTTAGAGTGAGTGTTCCTCACTCAAGTGAAACCCTGTCATTAAAACTTACTTCCTTTTAAAGGAACCTTGCTCTAAGGTAAACACGTCTAAACTCTTCTGTTGATTAGTTTATAGTAGCACTGCCAGGTTTTGGAATAGCATGCTTTTTTTTTTCTACCTGAAGTACTAATCTGAAAAAAAAGCAGATGTGCAGGGTGTTTTCTTTGTGTTACTTGGAGTGAAAGTGAGTTATTTTTCCACAATTAAGCCTTCATGTAATCATACATCATATTTCCAGTTTCTTAAATAAGTTTCTGTGTCCAATAAAAGTTTGAATGTTGAGTCTAATTTTAAGAACTCTGAGCTCTATTAAATTGTTTCACAGAATAGAGCTGCAAACTGGAAATTATTATGCCTGGAAATTGATAGCACTAGGTGTCTCTACATAAGTCTGGGAAAGGAGGGACTCAAACTGGCTTTGTTATTAATTACGTATACACACACATGGATGCGTGTGTGCATACATGATTGAGGTCAGATGGTCTGCAGAGAGTTCCTGTTATTTCTACTGTTTCTGATGGCTTCACATTACCTGAGAGGATTAAACAGTTATCAAAAACAGGAAAATATGTTAACTAACTTACTTGTTAGTAAATTTCAAAATGTTGTCAGTGTGAATATTATTAAAGATTTCTTTCTCCTTGGGTCTGCTGTATGTTTGTTTGCTGCTGTTGTCTGATTATGCCTAGTTTCTGCAGACCTGTGATTCTTTGTTTTAAATGAAAATTTGCCTGAAGGCTTAAGGGGGAAATTGAGTCAAAGGGTGGCAGTTCACATTTCAGGATTTCAGACTCAAGCAGAAAAGTTTAATACTTTGGGAGAGTCTTTCTTGAAACTATGTATACCAAAACGTTAGTTGTTTCAACACTGACATTTTGTAAATTTGAGGGGCTTGACTAGTCTGCATTTTTATCATCATCACCTTTAGCACTTGGAGGCTGTTAGGGCCAATTTTTGTAAGAAGTGTTAATTACTTCCTCAGTGTCAGGGATTATCATCTTTCTACATGAGGGGGGGAAAAAGCAACTGTTTAATTTTGTTTCATGGAGCAATTGCTGGTGATTCAAATGATTCTGGTTCTTAGTTGTTTCTGCGAACATTAAAGGGGCATTTGGAAGCGATAAAGAACCTGAGAAGCTTTTGAAAGCAATTTATTCCACGGTGGTCTGCTGCCATGTGTCTCCGGAGATTGCTTTTACTGAAGCAAAAAGGCTGAACGTTTGTCTAGAAAAGAAGCTTCTGGGTCACAAAGAAGTTGAGCTTAGAGTTGATTTGGAAGCACCTGTACAGCCAGCTTCCACAGCTTTCTTATTCTGGGTGAATAAACTTCCCTCATTTGTTACTCACTTTTGTGGCTGCATAAGGCTTTGGTTTTATCAGTTACACGGCTGCTACATACTCATGTCTGATGGCAACTAGTAGAACCGGTAGCGTCTAGCTCTGTACGACCCTGCCTTTTATCGCTTATTTTCTCATTTAGGCAAAGGCTGCAGGCGACGATGAAGCCATGTTTATTGATGAAAACTTCTGCACCGCACTGGAGTACGGCCTCCCTCCTACAGCAGGCTGGGGCATGGGAATCGATCGCTTCGCCATGTTCCTTACGGATTCCAGTAACATCAAGGTAAGCGGGAGCGGCGGCGCCTGCTGCGGGCGGCTGGAGAGCTGCCACGCGGTCCCGCCGAGCGGAGCGCGGGAGGCCGCGGGCGTCGCCCCGCCCCCGGAAGCCGCCCGAGCCGCCGAGCGCCGCTCCCGGCCGCGTGTCGGGGCGGGGCCGAGCCGAGTCGCGCTCTCGCGAGACTTCCGCGGCGCTCTGCGGGCCGGGGCCTGGCGCGCGCTGAGGGTGTCGCTCTTTGCAGGAGGTGCTGCTCTTCCCCGCCATGAAGCCGGAGGACAAGAGGAAGGAGGCGCAGCCCGAGCAGCCTGCCGAAGGCACCTCCGTGTGACGCCCGGGGCGGGTCAATAAACGCAGCTCTGTGCCGCGCCAGTGCCCCCGTGTGTCTGTGTGCGCCTGCGCGGGAGCTCCCGCCTCCCCGATGCTCGCGCGCTCCGGGGGCGGAGCCTGCGGCCGCGCGTGCGCGGGGGGCGGGGGAAGCAGCGCCGGGAGGGGGCGGGCGCCGAGGCCGACGCGGGGTTCGCCGGGGCGCCGGCTGCGGAGGCCCGCGCTCCTCGGTCGCTGAGGCGTGGCGGGGGCGCGGAGGCCGCGGGGCGAGCGCGGTGGTGCCAGGCACGTCAGCGGTGACGCAGGAACCGCGCCGGGACGGTGGTGTGGTGAACGCTGGGGGCTGCTGTGCAGCGGGAGCGTCGGGGATCCGGCCACCTCGCCTGTGCCTGGGCTGTTCGGGTTCCAGCATTGTTTTTTTGTTTTTTTTTTTTTCTATTCCTGGCGATTTGGAGGGAGGGGAAGCCCGCAAATCTTTACTCCGTATAACATAGTGCCTATAAACTTGAAAGGGGTGGTGCAGGCGGTCCTTGGGCATTGGGGTCTGATACAGGAAGGTGCCATATGCCACAGAGTGGGAGGGTCTGAAAGGGTATGGGATATGAATTAGCGTGATGGAATCGAATTCTGCTTAGAAACTGGACGTGCACCAGGAGCCATGTGGTCAGCTGATGAAATTGCTGAACTATGTTATGAGCATTATAGGACCAGACTCCCTAAGCAGGGAAAACCAGATCCAAACAGGGAATGGACTTCACTGGCAGCTGTTGTCAAAGTGGAGTCTGCAGCCCGAAGAGAGGTTGCTGCTAGACCAGGGAATCTGCAGGGTAAGAATGAGTTGTTTTGCTAGCTAAGCAGTGGTGGCTTTCTTTGTTGCTTTTGCCTTTGCTTTCAAAGATATCTCTAAAAAAACAGAACAAAGTACCCCTTCCTGTCCCATTTCTCTCTATCCCCACATTCTTTATTCTTTGTAAGCTTTTATGGCTTCTGTCTGAAAAGACAGTAGTGGAATGCTGTTCTTTCTAAACTGTAATTAAGAAGGTGAAAGGCCTGTGTTTTGCTGTTCAGTAAGGGGTGAAAGTCTGGACAGGACCTGAACACCTAATGTAAATGCCTGCATAAGTGTATTTAGCTAATCATAAGAATCCTGGAAAGGTCTCACTTCACCCTTGTTTAACAGACTGTGTTAGTGCACTGTGTATTTGTGTTGGTGCCAATAAAGGAAAAGAAGATGATTGCGAACTTCCACGTTGTCATGCAGATTGTATCCTGTAGTTATTTCTTATGTGTATGAGGAATCCTGTGCTGGTGTTCACACAAGTGAAGTGCTTGTTGCCTAGCATATCAAGTCAGCATTAGCACCCCTGCTTTGGGATCATAGACTTTCCAGAGCACTGGTGGTTGTACTTGCTATGTTGGTTCTACAGCTGGTAATTTCTTGTCTAGGATGTCTCACTGCCTGCCTCTCTGAACCTGGCCTCCTACATGATGTTCTGTGTGCTGTCTTAATAGAATGACTGCATAAGAGCAATACTTCTGGAAATAGCTTGTTCATTTAATGTTTTCATTTTCAGTAACAAAGGAGGTTGTTGCTATGGGAACTGGAACAAAATGTATTGGCCAAAACAAAATGAGAAAAACTGGTAAGTGTGGTGTAAAATCTAAGAACGGATTGGCTGTCCTTGCTTCCTTCTTTCTGATGTCATATAATCAATGAAGAATGTCCAAGAGGTTGAGCTTAGTCTTCTGAATTGAAGCAAAAAATGTGAGGCAGTCTTCACCCCTGGCAAGAAGACATGTTTAGGCAGCCAAAATGGCTGCCCTAAATATTTGCTGAAATCACAATTTTTAAATTAAGTCATGTTAATGAAATTATGGTAACAAACTTTTTATAATAAAAGCATGGGAAATTTACTATGGTTTAGATGTGATTCAAGTATTGATATCATTTTGTGAAAATTCAAAATCCTGTCCTATTGTGGGAAGTAACAGTACGTTGCAATGATTTAAAAAAAAAAAAAAAGTGATAGTGTTGAAAAAGGTTGTTCTTAAAAAAAAAAACACTTTAAAAAAAAAAGGTTTTGTGTTTACAACACAGAAGATATTAGAATTCAGTGTATCATATAAATGTATAGTGGCAGTAAATTGGCTGGGAAGGTAAGTGCAAGGAAATCATTTACTCATTTTAAAGACAAATACGAAGATTCACAGATATTTTCCAGATATCGCAGACATTTTCCTTTGTTTATCGGAAATGTGAGGTACATCTGTAAATTGACCTGATGTATTTTTAGAAGCGTAGAAAGAGGATAGCATTAAATATTGCAGAAAATTGTCAGATTCCTAAATATCCTTAAGAGTTTCCCAGAAATAAGGCAGTTGTTCTGCACATTAAGGACATACAATTTCTCGTTAGAGATGGCTACTGCTCCAAAAGATAGGAAGGTAGAAAATCCATGTTTCCTTTTAAAGGCCCTAAGAATGATCTGCAAATTAGCCTGCTGAGCTCTTTGGCACATTTTGTTTTCATTAAATCTTAAAAAAACACCTAGAAAAAAGATGCTGTAATGTCAGATTAATTAGGCCTTGTTTCTTGATGAACCATTTAGTCTTTAATATGTCAGAAAAACAGAAAGTAAAATTATTCATGCAACTTTTGAGATTTTGGTGATAATCCTCCTGTCTATTGTTACCCCGACAAAGTTGCATAACCGAGAGATAGGAAGGTAGAAGCACTAAGAAATAATTTACCCATTTTCGAGAAAAAATGAAGATTCATGTAGCAGATACTTTTCTACATTACTCAGAGGCAAATCATTGTCTTCTATCAACAATTTTAGAGGCAGAAAAAGAATTGTTGAAGGGTTGATTTTTACAATGGCAAAAAGTTCTGGAGTAGCTTCTCTCCTTAATCTGCTGTAGAAAAAGGATAATAGTTGTGTGGAATATATTGCAGATGCTGTTGCTAATTTAAATTCATAAGAATTGAAAAAAGTAATTGATGTTTTTAAAGACCTAATAGCATGCACTACTGCCATGAGAAACAACCTTAAACTGTAGGGTAAAAGGGTGCATTTATTTATATTAGTAGCATTATTTTCTCTATTTTCATTCTTTCTCCTAGTAGAAAGGGTTATTGTTGATATGGAAAGGACTTCAAAGGAGAACTGTAGGAATGATTGTGGATGTAGAAAAAGTTTGTGAAAAGCCTTCTGGAGTTCTGCAGTGTTGCCTAAGGAGCTGTTCAATCATGTGATGTTTTATTCCTGAAATAATAGCTGATTTACAGCTCCTGTTCTTTCAGATACAGCAATAGGTGGACATTCCAGGAAGTTTAAAGATTCACTGTGTAAACCTGATAAACGCCAGAAATATTTACCAAAAAAAAAAAAAAAGTAATTTAAATCATAGGGAGTAGTGCAACAGGAAACTTTGACTGAAAGGTTAAAACTTGAAAACTATTGGATGTTATGCGTATGCTGAGAATATTATGATTTACTATTAAGAACAAACTTAAGGTTTTGAAGGAAGACAGCTTATTCAACTCAAAGGATTTCAGATAATAGAAGTTTTAAAATTTGATGTTTATATGAGTCTCTGACTTGTGGCAGAGTGAAGGACTTATCCTTCATTGTTACAGGGTTTTGACCTCCTTTTGTTGTGACTGGAAATTTAAATGTCTTGGAATAACCTCATACCAATGTTAAACATTCAAATTTTAGCAAATCTACAGAACCATGTGGTCTGTCAAATTCTGTTTTGTTTGTCTCCTTTTCAATAATGATGCATAACGTTTTCATTTGTTCGTTGTATTAGGAGACATTCTGAATGACAGTCATGCTGAAACTGTAGCCAAGAGGAGCTTCCAGAGGTGAGACAGGAAGTTCTTGTGCTCTTACCCAGTGCCACTTGAGGGTTGTTTTTGTGATGTGCTTCTGACCCACAGCTGAAATAGATTTTGCAGCTTCAGTGATGAGAATGTAATGGAGAAAGAGATAGTATTACATCTTTTTTTTTTTTTTCCCTTTTGTTAGCAGAAGTTTAACCTTCTGTGTTTTTTTTTTTTATAATGTCTGGATTGTGTTTAATACTCTTGTACAAAAGTTTGTTTTTTCCTCATTACTAAGACCCTTGTACAAAAGCTTCTTTTTTCCTCATTACTGCAGGGACTCCACAAAGAAGTAGGATGTGATTTCCTGTGATGTCAATACTGGTCTTACAATTTGCTGCCAAGGGTAGCCTTCTCACTGTTTCCCATATACCAAATAAGGTATAAGCTGTTTCAAGGAACTTAGGTGGCAGAAGCAAGTTTTCATTTTCTACTCTTCGATGCCACTAAACCAGCTGTCAAATCAGATGACTGGCTGTGCAGGTTTTTAAAAAAAAAAAAAAAAAAAAAAAGAATGTGAGGAGTAGGCCTCAGATATACAACGTGAAAATATAGTTAACTCTTCTGAACATAACCCTTTGAGGTCTGTTATTAAGGTTCTGGTGATGCATTTGTGTTTATGTTGAGAGTTGTCTGTAGAAGCATAACTGATTGCTTGGCTCATCAAATACTTCATCAGGAGCAAATAAGCAGGAGTGGGAATCTAAGTTTTGTTGTTTTCCAATGCATCAAAAGTGAAGTAAATGATTCTTGGAAACTTTCTGTCTAACAGGTATCTTCTCCATCAGATGTGCCTGGCCGTTTCTTACCAGCAATGCAGCATCTTTATTCCAGGAACTGAAACAGGGAAATGGAAACTCAAACCAAATATCATATTTGTTTTCTTCTCTAGTCATACCCCATGTGAGTATGTTGGAGTGAACTAATTTCATGGCTCTTGCTTGCAAGGGACAGAAAAGTTTATGCCTCTCTTTGGTCTTTCTGGAGTGAGTGGGGAAGTAGCTCATGTCATCGGCATGTTCCCTAAGATGGACTTGACTGGTGCCTCACCAATACATTTGGCATTTTATCTCACTGAATGTAGTCCACGAGCAGTCATTAAACTGGATATTCAGGTGCTTTGCTTTCTCTTTGAATAGTAATGATTACAATTTTCTTTTCCAGAAATGAGAATGTCTGAAGTAGTGTGTATTTCCTGGTTACTTTGCTTTAAATGTTGTCTTCTTGGGCTGAACTTTCAGTGAAAAAGCACTGTCACTTTCTACAGTTCCTTAAAAAAACAAAAACAACAATACTGTCCACCCAGGCCAAAACTTATTATGGAATGGAATGCAACCTTTTATTCTGTCACAGAAAAGACTATTTGGTTGAGGAGGGCGGTAGGGGGAGAGCTGGGAGAGCAAACAAAACCAGAAACAAACAATGTTTGAAGAGTGTCTTCCTGTGATTACATTTTCCTGGGTGCAAATCTGTAAAAGCTAGTAGTAACCATAATATTACTGGTGTGATGTGTTTCAATCATCAGACATGTTGCTAATTTTGATGCTATTTCTTTTGTTGTAGGTGGAGATGCTTCTATTATTCCAATTAGTGAACCAGAGAACCAGCTTTCTAAGTCAATGAATGGAGCTGATGCAGCTGGACAGTCAGCACAGTGTAGTAGTAACCATGATCATTTGGGTTTCGAAGATAAAAAGAAATTGGAGAAAATGTCAAGTAATCATATAATCAAGAGAATGAAAAATAATGATGGTGGTTGGTTTTCCATGATCACTGAAGATCTGCCTGTTCAGCAAGTATTTGTGAAACCAGAAGGCAACGCTAATCCAAAGAGTTGTGAGTGTTCTGCACAGATGCAAGCAGCTAATGAGACTGGCTTAAGCAGACTGAAGGCAGTAGATGTTTATAGAACTGGAGCAAAATGTGTACCTGGAGAGCTGGATGATGCCAGAGTACCTGGGATAGGGTATCACCGTGTAGGATTATTACGAGTGAAGCCAGGTCGCGGGGTCAGAACATGCTCTATGTCCTGCAGTGATAAACTGGCTCGCTGGAATGTGTTGGGGTGTCAAGGAGCTCTCCTGATGCATTTTCTTCAATATCCAGTGTATTTGTCAGCAATTATAGTGGGGAAGTGTCCATATAGCCAAGAAGCTATGCGGAGAGCAATTATTGAAAGGTAAGTTCTCTCTTTGGAAATCACAGAATCGAAGGGGTTGGAAGGGACCTTGGAAGATCATCAGGTCCAACCCCCCTGCCAAAGCAGGTTCCTTAGAGCAGGAATCAGCTAGCTTGTATGGAAGCTGAGTTGTGTCACTGTCATACAACTATCAGGACTTAGCACCAAAGTCATACTTTGCAAAGTCACAATGCAAAGTAAAGTGTGGATTTCTGCAAATTCACGTTTTGAGAAAGTAGGCCTGTACAGTATGGAGAAAGATGACTACTGCTGATGCTGATCAGACTTGAAAATTTACTAAAGAACTTGCATTAGATTCAGGATCCACTTGGTTGTCCCCTGATGGAACAGTGAGAGGCTGTTACCCACCAGAGCTTTTCTAGAAGCCTTCCAGCAGAAAATGAAACCTGAAAGGAGGTGTGTTTAAGGTATTTTTTAGCAAAATTGAACTTTCTTGAACTTCTTCAGTATTTTTTTCCTCAAATAGGAGCTTTTTATTTATTTATTTGTCTTTACTCCACAAAACCATTCTGAATATCCTTAAATTCTCTTTTACAGAAATGAGTTGCTCAGCAAAAGCAGCTTTTATTTCTTGGAAATAACTGAATAATAGAGTTCCCAAAATTGGAAATGGCTGAACAAAACATTCCTTAAATTAAATTAAGCTCCCAAATATGTCCATCCTGAAGGTAATCTGCCTAAAAAGGTTCCAAATGAATACTGAAGTAGACTTCTTGCACATTTTCATAAATAGGGTGAGTTAGGAAGGTAGGGGATTTTTGTTGCTTTCCAATGTTTCCCTCACTGACTTTAAAATAACATACTTAAGATTTTTTTTTGTTAGTTTCTGTTTTCACTGTTTCATTATTTAGTCCTGGAAGCAGAACATCCTTATGTCTCTGCTGTGTGACTACTCACTGTGTAATTAATTCCATTTGTAAATGTGCTGTTGTCTTCAAGAAACCATATATTTAAAGGTTATAAAAATACTGTCTGACTAGCTGCTTTTGCTTTCAGGTAAGTAACTCATGGTTGTCACATCACACATCTCTCTGCAGTTGGAGCATGTCACTCAGAAATAGCTTGCTGTTAATATTACATACGTACCCTTTATATATGCACTGCAACAGTATACCCTTACAAAGGGTAACGGTGGAAAGGATGTCTTTCTAGTTGTTCTTACAAAACCTTTTAGAACTTAACCTGGATTTAACTTATTAGTTCTTATTATTAGTTCTTATTAATCTCTCACTGATTTCAGACTGTAATTACTTCCAGCAATTATTAGGGTAAAAGATGTATTATTTAAAACATTACTTGAAGGGAGCTGTAGTAAAAACTTTTTTCTTCTGTTAAAGTCTTACTGAGCTTGAATCCAAACTTCAGATTTTCTAGGAGACTAATATCTGGGTTATTGCATATGCATGCAATTGCATCCCATGGAAAATTTTAAAATCACTGTATTGTCTGTCTATTCTCAGTAGAGGTTAGTCAAAACTTTAGAACAATACTTCTCAGAGTTTTATGTGCTCTCAGATGTGCTGTGCAACTCATGGAAACTGAATTCTGGACCTAACACAGAAATCGCAGTGATTGAGTCTATTTAGGTTTATAAAGATGAACAGTGTTTGGCAACCAGATAAGAAAGTCATGATTTCAGGTCAACACTTGGTTGCATTAGGAGTAGTTGTCAGTTTGACCAGCCTCATCAGTTCTAGGTTGCAAAGTCAGGCACTTTTTCAGACTATTACATCTGACAATGCAAACCTCAGTTTTAATTCATTCTTGCTTCATATAAGTACTGTGAATAAACAGATGCTGTTTTTTCCTCCCTGTATGTTCCTAATATCATTCAGAGTGTTACAATAATTGAAGGTAACAAAGCTGAGATTATACATGAAACTTTAGGTATATTTTGTGTCTTTCTGGTCTTTAGTTTTGAACCCCTAGGTCCATAAAAACATTAATGTAGTATGGTTGACTGTGTAAATACATTCTAATTATTTTTTTCTGTTACGATTTCAGAATTATATTGTAGTTTTTATTCTGCCTATCTTCTATGGAGTTGTAGTAGGTTTTGATTAGACCCGTTTTAAAATCAGTTTGTTGTCCTTTTTCTAGGAAGGACAAGGTCTTACTAAACTCTGTGTCTTTGTGGTTTTGTTTGTTTTATAGCCTAAACAAATACTGTTTAGAAGGGGAAAATGTCTCCATATCTTCTTGCATCTCTTACAACTCATGTTCAGTTCACTTTTAAAATGTAACATGCTTTTGAATATGTAGGGAAATTGCATGGAATCTGCTTGTCCTGGAAGATGAGACTTTAAATCACTTGCGTTTTTCCATGTTTACTGTAGGTGTCAGCATGTCTCATTTTTACCAGATGGTTTTCTCACTCAGGAGGTTAAACTGCTGCAATCAGAACTTCGATTTGAACATAGCCGTCAGGCAGTCCAGGAAGTTCAAACTAACAGCAAAACAAAACTTGTTCCCTGTAGCGCGGGTGAGTTAATTTGGACTAGTTGTGTAACTGTGTGCAGAAATCATAATATAAATTATATGACTTTGATGTTCCCTAAAACGTAACATCATTCGTTGCCAGTGCTAGAGGCAAAGTACGACTTACATCAAGATATTAATTTCAGAACAGAACTTAATAGTATTTGCAAACTGCCTCTATTTTCCTGTAAACACTTTTCAGACTGAATAAAAACTCAGTCAATACCATTAGGAATTTATAATCTAAACAAAGGTAGAAAATAAACAGCCAAGACAAAGTTCTGAGGGCAAGAAGAATCAAAAGAATTCTTGTTTAAGTTAGTTTTGTGTTATCCTTGGTAATGAACAGAAGATTTGCCATGCTGAGTTATGATTACAATCTCTTCAGAACTCTTTGAATATGGAAGGAATACAGAGTAGTATAGTATAAAGGTTTAATTGATACGAAGTTTTTGGGCATTACATTTTCTGTCATGCTGAGGAATGAATTTGCAAGTCATATAGTTTAGCGACGTGGCAATTCAGCAATGTGGTCTCCTTTGGGGGGGAGGAAGCACTACTGTATGTGTATGGGTAAGCATTTTCTCAGGACTTGGGTGTGGTTACCTTCTGCTGCTGTATATTTTTCTGGCTTAATTGGAAGTTATTCTCTTAGAATAGACCTGATGATAAAATAGAAACAAATGTCTCTTTAATTAAATTCACAGATTCATTAAATTGTATACAATTTACAGGTGCCAGTAGGGAAAAGATTTTGATACTGTGAGATAGGAAGCAAAATATATTGTTGAAAATGCTGTGAATTCACTTAACAAAAAACATCTGAAGCGAACTGTGACCAAATGTACTAAATAAAAATTACTTCTACTTTTTATTTACTCTTTACTTTTATACAGTTACTCAAGTCATTCTGTTAGAAGATGGTAAATGATACTTTATGAAACAGTTTTGCATACATTATGCTAGATTGAGTTTTTCTTGAGCAGAGGAAAATCAGAATTAAGTCTAAATTTGTTGCAACTCTTTCACGTGCTTGGAAGACAGAAATGAGAATTAAGGGAGCAGAAATGATCTCAAGACAGTAGAACTTAATAGTACTGTTGTTAGGCTATGTAGGTACAGACTGGGCATGTCAATCGCTTTTGTTTCTGGTGACGAGCCTATTCAGATGCTTTGCTAGTTATTTATAAATTTGTAAGATAATTGCATGCTGAGTTATAGCATCAAGAAGTATACATGTACAGTCTAACATTGAATTACGTATCCAGATGGGGGTAAAAGATAAGGTTGTTAGCATTTAACAACTCTTCCAACAAAGTATTTTTGTTTGACTGTTGGCTAGTAACATTTTTCAGGTAATGTCTACAAATACCTTTGTGTCAGTTATGAAATGTACAGAGAACTATTTAGATGCACAATATCATAATAAGGAAAACACAGGTTGACTGGTACCAGTAGTATGGGAGTGTGTTTTACAGCCTGATACAAAATTATGCCATCTGACTTGGGAATTATTCACTCTTTGTCTAGACTGGATACACCAAGGAGAGGATCCCTCTAAAAAATGGGAAAGTTATGGAGCTGTAGGCTAAATGTTTAAAGAGGCATGGGTTCTCAAAAGAGCTGAAGAGCGTGTGTATTTTTTCTTATTATTCTTATTTTTTTCTTATTTTTAGCTGAGTTTCTGTTCTTTTAATAAATCCTTTCTTCCTCAGCTATCAGTTGGAGTGCAGTTCCTGAACAACCTCTGGATGTCACCTCAGATGGTTTCCGGCAGGGAACAACAAAGAAGGGGATTGGGAGCCATCAGAGCAGGTGAGAGTATTGTGACACATGGATGCACGTATCTTACGTTTTAGCATACATGCCTGTCTCTTAGGTCACTGTGGTGTGTGGTGGCATTGTCAGAGCAGAAATTCTCTGAGTGGGGAAAGGTAGTGTGGATAAAGGAATAGTCATTGTGTAAGGGAGAGAAGGTGAGAGCTGCTGAATGAGGGCAAACAAGTTTATCCTGTTTCTTGCATGTCACTGTTTATAAAGGAGAACATTGTCAATAATAGTAGTGGGGGATTATGATCAGTATTCCTTAAAAGACAGCTTATTTGTTGGCAAAGGTGGGAAAATTTTTACTTTGTACCTTTTGAATTGAAGACTGAAGGAAATTAATGTGTTGCATGACCTTTTTTATGGATTTCTTTTTCTGTAAGAGTCAGCTCTTTGTTAACAGCTTTTGTGGTAAAAGGTCCATATAAGGAATTTGTAGCCTTAATGTAGGGGGGATTGTTCAATACTAAACAAGACTTGTATTTCTGTTCTCTTTTTTTCCCCCCCTTCAAGGAGCCTTTAGGTGATTGGGGGGGGATGTGGGAGGAGGGTTGTTTGGTTTTCCTCGGTGGAACGTATTAGATAACGCTAAATCTCATGGAAGATAAAGTTGACTGACTAAAAGTAGTTTGTAAGTAGTCTTCCGGTATGTGCTTTTGCTTAATTAACTAAAACACCAAAAACTACAATATGAACTTTTGACAGATTAACGTGAAAATTTTAGAGTACCTTTGCATGCCAGTTTTGGGGTTCTTAACCTAAAGCAAAATAGAAAGCACATTTTCTTTTAATAATTCTGGAGAGTTAGCTTGCATGTGTTGGAAGACTGAATTGAATTATTCATCATGAATATAATCGTGTAATAAGAATTTAATTCCATAGAAAAATTAATTTGTTTTAAAAGCCCCATCCATGTTTCATGGAACACCTGATATGGTTGTCTGACTTCTGGGTGAAGAGAAGGGCTTAAAGCTGAAAGCTGACAGAGATGCCTGTGATATCCTTAAGACCTTTCAAACTTTTACTTTACTTTTTGATGAATCTATTTGTATTTAACTGCCCTCCATCTGTTGCTGAATGCATCCTTGTCACTGTTGCAACAAGGGCAGCACTGTCACAGATGTTTCTTCTGGTTCTTTTATTTTTTTCTGAATAATACAAATTTTCCAGTTTGAACAAGCTCTTCAAGTCCTTCTGTACTTGTGTGATCATTTCTGGGACTAGTCCCTCTGCTTCAGCCTGTGCTATAATTGTGAGCAAATTGATGGTACAGTCTTATAACAATGTGGGGATATTAAAATGTTTCCTCTGCAAACTGATGGTGCTAGCTGGGACAATAGGGGCAATACAGCTCTTGGTCAACATAACATTTAAAATTAAGGTTTAAAAAAAGAAAAGCAATGGGCAGCTCAGGTGGGGTATGAAAAGTTAAATGGTGGGGCAAAAATGTTCAGCTGGAATGTATTACTGTAAGCATCAAGAGGAAGTGCATTTCTGATTTATTTTTTTCCATCAGATCCAAGATCTGTAAAGTGGAACTCTTCCATGCATTTCAAAAGCTGGTGACAAGTATTTCACAAGAGAATCTACCAGACACTCTCCGGTAAAGAAATTTTCATAATATTTATGTGAATATAAAGTTATCTTCATGAAACTCAAGAATAATGTGTTAATACTAGAACTTTCCAATGAGTCTCACTTGAGATAACTCCATTGTTAAAACTGGATACTTAAAGAATACAGCATATCCTTGATGGGTTAGGAAGAGTCTTTCTGGTTTTGGTCTTTTGCCTCATTGGAGAAATAGCTCATTAACAAGAGACAGAAGTTGCAGGTGTTTTGTTCGTTTGGAGTTAAGGCTTTTGGTGTGAAGAATTGCTACTTTCGGAAAGAGTAAATTTTCCTGATCACAGAGACATGTCCTGCTCTTGCAATAGATGTCTTCTGGACCCCTTGTAAGTCTGTTCAACTTTCTGTCTTGTCAGAAAGCTACTCTTTTTTTAAAACAAGTCTAGGCTAGAATCTCCTTTCAGTTAAGTGTATGATGGAGTAAGAGCTAGCAAGGTGAGACTGCAGGGCTGTTTCCACTATGTGTGCGTTATGTAGATGGAGACTTTCTGGAAAGAACAGAAAGAAGCTTTTGTCTGAGGAAGCCCTTCTTGGGGATTTAATTTACACCATTAGAAACAAGTTGGGATTTTCAGGCTGGAGATTGTATATGAGACTGGGTGATTATCACGTTACACGTTTGGTAGTATTTCACCTTGCTGTGCCTGATGATTAGGAGTTATAGCTTCATGGATAGAAAAACATACATCTCACTTTGGCTTAGAGATTATTCTGAGTGATGCAGAACATGCCATATCTGTTGCTTTGGTAGGTTTATTTTATTTTAGTCTTATTTCCAGGTATGATCTTTCCACCTCTAAGATGAAATCATAGCAGATGTTGACCTAATTTAACTGCTTGTAGCTACAGATGGGCATTCTTAATTCAGTTTCAAATACAAAATTACCAACTCTTTTGAGAGGGAATGGCTTCTAACTTGTTCAGTCACTGTAATTTCTTCAGAATAGAGCATGAAATAATTCATTGTTGAGTAGTTGACTCATTGTGCTGATTGTATGCTGCTTATGTAAAGTCACCTTACCTCAGGCTTGTTCTAGACTTCAGTGGCTTTGTAATTTCCTTTGACTTTTTTGTCCTCTACCGTTTTTCTCTCTGGGCTTCTCCTCACCAACTCCAGCTGACTTGCAGATGTGGCATCATTTTTAGGCTGCACAAACTCAGTTTATACAGCAGAGATGCTAGCTCGCCAGTCAGCCTGTTCAGTTGTTTTCCTTTTGAAGTCTCCCCTTTTTCCTACTCTTCAATTAAAAATCAAAATAAAATGTTGCTTTGCTTCCTCCTCCTTCCCTTACCCTTTCTGCACAATATTCTGTTTTCTTCCTCTGTATTCCTTGTAGTCTGAATTCAAGTAGACTTCAGATAAATAATTTGAAAGTGTGGAATTTCTTTCTCTGAACTCCTGTGTATTCAACTCTTACCCATTTTTTTTCCTCCTATGCAAATGTGGCTTATCTCCTCTTATAGATGGTTGGCTCCTGTGCTATGCTGTCACACCATTTATTTTTCTCACTTTGCCCCTACATTCCTTCCCTGCCTTTTCTGGTCCACTTTTTGGTCTCTTGGCTCCCATCTGTTCTGCTCACCCAAGGGAATCTCATCTTTACTAGAGCTTGTCTTGTTAGTTTTGGGGTGTATTAGGACAAGAATCTTCCTTTATTTAGCCCTTTTCTCACCTCCTGTTGTCCACTTAGGATACTGGGACAGTTAAAGCTTTATGTGAAAATAATGTAGTAATGTTCTTTTATTTTCTTCTTTCCTGTATGTAGACATGCTTCTCCTGCTTTCTGTCCCTTCATTTCTCCTTCATTCTTGACACCTCTTCAGAATCGCTGCAGGCACTGTTCAGTTGGAACAGGTTGAGAGCATACTCAAAGTAGAAGATTGCTGGCTCCTCTTAAAAAGCATGTTTAGGAAATTGTGGTGATGTAGTACAACTAACATGCGAAGCATAACATTTAGCAGTTGCTTCTTTCAGGTCTTAGGTTGGTTTACTTTCAGCTGAAAACAATGAGATGTTTGACTGGTATTATCTACTTCACCAAGAATCAGATAGTGTTCTCTTGCGCTATCCCATTTTCTTCATTTCTGATAATTCTGATCTGTCTTGTGTGCCTTACTTGCCCATCTCTCTAACTGGACTATAAACAAACATTAACGTCTTAGACAACTGCTTACCTCCACCTGCCATGCTTCATTCTTTTCTGCTTGACACCCTCTCACATGTTGTTTTGTTTTAATGATTGAAGTTACTGGTACATAAATCCTTTAAAACAAAAACAAATAACTATTGCTGCCAGTCAGCTGTTTTATTCAGTCTTCTTACTGGTTACATCTCACATGCTGCATCAATTTCATGTTTTCTGTGCTCATTGTTAAGGGAGGGATACGATGCAGTTCTGGGTTCTGTTGTGCCTTTGCTAATCTGAATTGTTATGTGAAAACCTCTATAGTTATTATTATTTCCAAATACTTGGTGGTAGTATGGCAAAGAACGTTTTCTGGATTTTTGTTTGTTTTTTCTGCTGGCAGAATCTTGTTCTTCATACCTTATTCATAATGTTCATAACCTGGGAAACTGAAAGCCTTCTTTTGTGGCGTCCACTCTACAGAGTCAGCAGGCACTGCAGTCTGTGCAAGGTGTGGCTAGCTGCACAACCCTTCTTGTGAATCTAAGTGATACTTTGCAACAAAAACCTAGCCTGAGTTTCTTGCTGGGCTTGTTAAATGGATGGCTGATCATCTTTTCTCTTAACTGTGATGGGTCCTGACTACATTTAATACTGTGTTTTATTTCTCCTTCCCATTCAGACCCCATTATGTATGGGTGATTCCGGTTCCGGAGAAGCCTCACTGGGGAGAGGGGGGTAGGCTGTTCTACAGAAGAGTATGTGTACTAAGGGTACAAGGACTTTTAGATGGCTAAGATTAAAATACCTGAAGAACAGAACATTCTCTTGGTTTAAGATGCTATGAGAATCAGGCAAAGTATGGTTTCCTGGCAGCCTAGCATTAGGGGTTCACCGTTTATTTTTATATATTGAACATCTATAAGCTTTTATCCTCTTAGATGTGATTCGTTTTTGTTTTTGTTTTTTTTTTCCGTAAGAGTAATGCTTTGGTCAATGCCTGACAGTGTGCAGCAGTGCATTGGTTTTCTTCATAAGCTGCCCTGCTTCAGCTCAGTTTTGCACGTGGCTGAATGTATGATCCTTTTTAAGCATAGTGGTGCTGGTGTAATGCTTTTTCCAAGTGTGTGACACTAATGGCTCACCTCTCATGCCTCTGGCATGCATTGGAACCACTCTGCTTCTCTCCTGTACTGTAGTCTAGTGGTAAGATTGGAATAGTGAAGGGAAACATAAAAGGAATGTAGACAGTCAGACCTGGATAGGCTAGAGATCATATTATTTACAGGACTGCCTGGGTCAGCAGACAAGTGTTCATTTCTGCCCCTTCTTCCCTCCCCTCCAAAAAAGTCATAGGTTCTTCATTACAAATTCTTGGAGTCTTAACGTCCCAAACATACTAGAGATACAGACAAATCATGTGGCTCTTTTGGCAGTGTAGTGTACTTTGAATTTGAAAGCATTCTTTCCATGTGTGTATATATATTAAAAATTTCTCATAAGCCCAAGGCAGAAGTTGAGCATGAATTAAAAAAATCTGTTTCATTCGGGCCATTCTTTGATGAAACTGTTTAAAATGCAGCTTTCTGTTACATCTGCTGTTCAATCCTGTAGCAATGTTGCCTGCCTGGAGAATGAGATCTCAGGAGGCTGCAGTTATATGTGGTCTTGTAACTGCTAAAGTGAATTGGAAATACTGAGCTACTTCTCACTGTATATCCTGCTTTCATGCTAGCTATGTTTTCCCTTACTGTCTGCTATAAAAGTTTCATAACCGAACTCTGAAATAATCTAAGCTGGGAAAATTCCTTAAGTATTTTAGTTAAACTGGATCAGACTGCTGGATATACATTTAAAAGCCATTGATTTGCCAGCAAATTCAGGAAAAAAGCAACATTTAGCAAGAATTAAATAAACGGCTAGGCATCAGTCTTTCTCTTGGCTCTGTGGCTGGAAGAATCTATGTATATGTGTATAGTGCCATCATCCCTAGCAAATCCAAGGAAAACAGGTGTTTCGCCTTTTTTACAAGACTGAGCCAGTCCAAAAATCTGTGTTCTGTAGGTCTTTCTGATTTACAACCATCCTAATGCAAACAAATAAGTAAAAGTAGCTGTGTTTTGAAGATGTAAACAGCATCTGATATTAGCTCTTCTATGGTGAAGAACAAATATATGTCATTAGATGCATTTACAGTGAAGAAAGATAACGTCAAAATCTTAAATGTGTCAGAAGTACTTCAAGTATAGAAAGTATGGTAGCATAAAAGTTTCTTCCCAAAGACTGAATTGGTCATCAAATTTGAGTATAAGCATACACTTTGCTCCTTCAAGAATTGTCTTGTAGTGGAGTGGAGGTGCAGGTGGCTTGCAGCATATCTCTGAGGATCGTGCTGGAGTACCTGGGAGAGGAACAGCTAGCCTACACTAGAGATCTGAGGGAGCTGGTTAAGGTCCACCATCCAACTAGGATGTGTGCTGTTTCCTGAACACTGCTTATGCAGATAATTGGTGGTCTTTTACCTCTTTAGTGATGCTCCTATAGCATCTACCATTGGTACTGGCATTCTGTGTCTGTTCCATTGAGCAGGTGGAGGAGAGTTGCAGTGGGCCTTTCCACAGAACTTTCAAAAACAGCTCAGTGGTTAGTTGCAGAGTTTGAATAATGTGAAAGGGGTAAAGAAAGCAAAATGAATTGGCTGTGACAAAGAGTGCAGGCAGGTTTGTAAGAGTATCTAAAAGAAAAGTTGTGGATGCCCCATCCCTGTTCAAGGCTGGGTTGGATGGTGCTTTGGGCAACATGGTCTAGTGGGTCCATGGCAGGAGGGTCAAAACTGTATGATCTTTAAGATCCCTTCCAACCCAAATGATTCTGAGATTCTATAACTCTCCCATGTTCAGCAGTTGAGTAGGCAGGTTCTTTGCTCTTGCATTGTCTGAACCTTGGTTCTTCTGTATAGTTACTATCTCATGGTTTGCTGTGCATGTCAGTGTTCTAGAAATACATTTATAATAGAAAGCTGAATGGCTGAATTATAGCTTCTTAGGGTCTGCTATTCTGCAGCGTTGGGTGGTGGTGATGACTGTGGTGCCTTTAAGCGTGAAAGTTTGTTCTGTAACCTAGTGCAATGGTTCTCAGACTTTTTAGATTAGGATCCCTGGAGCAGTTTGGCTCTTCCTCTTTATTGAGGAATGTCATGTTGCCTGTGAATTTCCCTTCATATTGGATTGATGTTTAAACATTGTGCATCTCATGTGGTTTGACACTGGTAAAGGGAGAAGAAAGAGGCTGGAAAAGAATTAAGTTATATGAAATTGTTTTAGAGGTGTTTGTGCTTTCTCTCTCCTATGTGTTCAGATACTGTTGACCTGTATTTCCCTGTTTTGAAAACCAATCGTATCATGCATTCAGCAGAGAGACTGGTGGTTTTCCTGAGATTGTGGGGAGCAGGTGCTACATAATGAAGAGGGGCAGAATACCAAAACTGAGCCTCTTATGCTTTAGGGATTAGATAAAAGGAAAAAAATTCGTCTCATTCTTCCCCATAACTCCATGTTAAAAAATAAATACTCTTCTTCCCTATTCCCTTCCCTTCTGGCCAGCAATCACATCTGTTCTTCCCGCAAAACAAAGCTACTTCAACCCAATTCAAAGCACCCATCTCTAGCCACCTTTTCTGCTTTGGTCCTACGTTTTTTGCTAGCATGGGTTTTCCGTAACCTATTGTCACACAGTCAGGCACGGATACTTCTGTTGCTGGAGAGCATGTGTGAAGCGTGGCAGACAAGTTACTGTTTTCTTCTTTCATGAGACTGCTAACGATGTCTAGAAACACTGACTTCCTCAGCACCTGGGCCTCTCCAAGTCTCCCTTAGAAGCACAAGAGAATTTCACTTAGTGTGGAAGAGCTCATAGGGACATCATCATATTCTTAAATGCTTGATTGTTTTTTTTCATTGTGTTACAATGCATCCAATAGAATAATAGACAATTTGTCATTGTTGTGCATTTTCTCTCAGGATGAAGACCCTAAGAACATACTGGGACTACAAGGAAGCTGCATCAAGTTATCAAGAAGCCTGGAAAGTGCTGCGCAGCCAAGCGCTGCTGGGCTGGGTCAAGAATGCCCAGGAATACCTGGAGTTCACATGAGAATAAAAGCAACTGTAAATACATCAAAATGCCCTGAAACCCAGCAGATACCTATGCTACTCAAGGGCCAGTAAAGATGTCCTCTAGTTCCTGTGCTATAAGTAGATAAGACTGAAAAGGAAAGTAAAATCGGAGATCTCTTTGTTTTGGTTGATTTGCACCCTGCCCTGCACTCCCCTCCCCCCTTTATTTAACTGTAGAGAAGAATCACTGCATATTTAGTTCTGAGCTGCATGAAACAATGTGCCTTCAAAAGTAAGGAAGCAGTGATGCAAATCATCGTTTTTCTGAGGATATGATTTATCAGCCGTAGTCTGTTGAAATGGAAGTAATGTCAACTGAAATTTAAACAGTACTATGGAAGAAGGGCTGTCTTTTTAAAACTTTGGTGCTGGTTTTCCTTCTGCTCTTCATAATGTTGTTATTGCTTTTGTGTTGCTGGGACAACCCTAATGTATAGTAAGTATTATTTTTATAACTCTTGTCTCTTCTTGTTTGGTGCTTGCAAGAATTTTCTGTCTCCCCACAGAATTTTTTGCTCCTAACTGGAAATAGTAGTTTTGTTCAAGGGTCTTTTTCTGGAAGTAATCCATATAACTTTCTATTACTAAAAGTAGCCAAAGCAGAATTAAAAGAGTGCCAGGAAGAAGGCTGTCAAATAATACTGCTTATGTTATCCTGTGTATCTCTTAATTTCAGGACTTTGCCAGAAACCCCTTCACAGTTGATGTGCTTCTGTGGACAGGAAAGAAATCTCCTGAATTACTTGGCTCGATCTTGTTCAACACTGGGTTTTTATTGGTCGTTTTTGTTTGGTTGCTTGCTTGGTTCAGGGTCTGTTTTTTCTTTTTCTCCAGTGATACATGGTTCATTAAAAGCAGGGATGCCGTAAGCATTTATGTCAGTGTTTCCTGGCAAGTGTTCATTAATAGCCTGGCAAAGGTGGAAACACTCTGATGGGGACTGTAAGTAGTCTCTGACAGTCTTTGCAATCTTTGCCTTTATGCTTTATTACCAATAACATCTGCATGATAAAACAATCCACATTGCTAGCTGGGGGGAGGGAGGGGAACAATGGGTAATCATCCTCAAGCTTTCTGTCCCAATTATTACCTTCTGTGAGTAATTTCAGGACTGTGTCGCTGCTACTGAGCATGCTCCCTTTCTGTACTTTTTCTGCTATAACCTACTATTCCTAAAATATTCGGACAATGTAATGGCAGAATGAAAGAAAGTGTTTAATTTGGATCTTAAGAATTCTTTAGTTATTTGAGATTTCTGTTGTTTGGTATCTTATTGTTATTTTGGATTTGAAAAATGGGTACAGAATTTCTCAAAACAGCTTTTACAGCCAACCTACAGAGCTGCATAGGGGACTGAACAGTTGATAGCAGAGATCGTGTTACAGAAGATCTATTTACTGTGGGAATAACAACAAACTTGAATTGTGTGTGCATAAGCCTATCCGCTTAACTCCAGCGCTGACATTCAGAAAGACCAATTGGTAATGGGGAAGACATTACATGTGTTTGTAAAGGGCAGAGGATTATGGAGAACGGTGACTTGCGTTAAGTCATTGGAGGCTGGAAGATGGCCAGCTGCCATTGCAGATAGGCCACTGGGTGAACTGCTAAAGACAAATGGTAGCAGTTACCATCACTGAGCAAATAGCATCCCAAGGGCAGAGTCCTGTAGTTTAACTAAAAAGATAACCGGTAAATTTCCAGGCTCCTGAAATTTGCCTCTGTCCTTCCTTGAAATCTTGCAGAAACTGCTCCTTCACATGCCTAGTTTCCCTTCATTAATCACCAACAAGGTCTGAAGTGAACCTGCCAACCAGACTGGAATGTTTCCAGTACCTGCCCAGCTGCAATATTAAAATGGATTACATAAAGCTTAGTTGTTCTGCAGTCTTGGCATCAGACTAGTTTTGAGATAAGCAGTTACATGACGTAAATTCATTTAAACTGATGGTTAACAAGGATGAGCAAACAATTGGTAATTGGAACAGCAGAGTTTATGAGGGCAGCAGGATTTCCAAGGCATGTGTAAAATGCTCTACAGAGTATCTTTCTATCACCCAGATACATGCTTGGCTATCCCAAGCTAGTACGGGGATCGATTGTTCCTATTTGCTAGAACAAAGAAACTGTAATTCCTAATTTGTATGGGATGCCTTTAACAGCTTTGCTGTTGGAGAAGTTGTTCTATTCTCAATCACAATAAGAAGGTTGGGCAGACAGCCCGCTCATTTTAAAGGAAGTCAAAAGCAGAGCATAGGAACAAGTACTTGTCCAGGTCTAAATTTAACTATCATCCGTTTGAGCTTGAAGCTAAAATTTCTTGAGACTGTGTGGTAGCATCTCTCTCCCCCTGAAAAAGAAAAATTCTTATCTTTGCAGTGTGCTTTCACTGCTCACCTCGTGCTGACTGGAGCCCTTACTGTTCATAATACGTTCAAAGTACATGGAAGATGGTTCAAATAATTGTCTGTGGAGAAACAAACTGTGACCCCAGAACAAGGTAGCTTTGTGCTAGTTGTTCACAGTTTTGCAATTAAACTAGTAAGCACATGAGCAAAGGAAGAGCTAGGGCTGTGCTGCTGTGGGTTGGAGCCAGGCTTCCTTCTGATGGTTAGAAACTACTAGATGGTTATGAAACCATGCCTGGAGGAAATGCTTGAGGTATAAGCAGGAAAATAGTTGAGTGAGTTACTTATGAAAAGCTACTGTCAGTAAGAAGGAAAGAAAGGTGTTAAGAGTAAAATTGGCAACCAAATGCAGTTGACAGGTTCTTCCTTAGAGCGTAACTATCCTGAGAATCTGATAGCATCATTACAAGCGCATTGCAGCAGTGGTGGTTTACGCAAAATAATTTTTGAGGAAAGACCATCTAAATTCAACTAGTGTTTGTTTCTTTAGATGACGCTTCAAGTAAGCTTAAGGCTATATAGAAATGTTACTGTAAGAATAGTGAGATGTTTATTCAATTTCTTCATTATTCAGAAGCGCTCAGAGGGTGGTGATTAGCAGCACAGAGTCCGTCTGGAGACTTATGACTACTGGTGTTCCTCAGGGGTTGGTGCTGGGTCTGGTCTTGTTCAACATTTTCATCGATGACCTTGATGAGGGAATAGTGTCCACCCTCAGCAAGTATGCCGATGATTAAAAAGCTGGGAGGAGTGGCTGACGCGCCAGAAGGCTGTGCTGCCATTCAGCGAGACCTGGATAGGCTGCAGAGATGGGCAGGAAGAAACCAAATGAGGTTTAACAACTCCAAATTTGGAGTCCTGCACCTGGAAAGGAACAACCACATGGTACAGGCTGGGGGAGAAGGGAGAAGTACAGGCTCTGAGGAGAAGGACCTGGGGGTCCTGGTGGACGACAGGTTGACCATGAGCCAGCAGTGAGCCCTGGTGACCAAGAAAGCCAATGGGATCCTGGTGTGCATTAAAAGGAGCGTGGCCAGCAGGTCAAGGGAGGTGATCCTTCCCCTCTACTGTGCCCTAGTCAGGCCTCACATGGAGTACTGTGTCCAGTTCTGGGCTCCCCGGTACAAAAAAGACAGGGTTTTCCTGGAAAGAGTCCAGTAGAGGGCCACTAAGATGATACAGGGCCTATGGGCTATAGGGTTTCCTCCCTGTGAGGAAAGGCTGAGAGACCTGGGTCTGTTCAGCCTTGAGAAAAGAAGACTGAGAGGGGATCTTTTTAATGCTTACAAATATCTTAAGTGTGGGACACAGAGGGATTTGGCCAACTTCTCGGTAGTTTGTGGAGACAGGACAAAGGTCAATGGCCACAAAATGGAGCCCAGGAAGTTCCACACCAACATATGAAAGAATTTCTTCACAGTGAGGATGAAGGAGCACTGGAACAGGCTGCCCAGGGAGGTTGTGGAGTCTCCTTCTCTGGAGATATTCGAGACCCGTCTGGACGCCTACCCGGGTAACCTGCTCAAGGGAACCTGCTTTGGCAAGGGGGTTGGACCCAATGGTCTCTTGAGGTCCCTTCCAACCCCTACAATTCTGTGCTTCTGTGATTCATTCAGTGTTTAGACTGAAATGCCTTCTCAGTCCTTAAGGGTTAACAGAAAAGACTATATGGGACCCAGTGTTCTAGACAAACTGCTTTTAATCAATTTAAAAGACACACTGTCCTCTCTAAAGGAGAGGTATGCAGTTCAAAAGAAAATCTTTTTCTTGACATTTCAAGTACATTTGCAGATACAAAGGAAAGTAGATGTTAGAGCCTTTATCTCTGCATTCTCTGGAATTACTTGGGTACCTGGGCTTCTAAAATCAAACTAATTAAAAATTACAGAGAAGTTAAGAGAGTAATTATGTTTGTTTTTAGAGGCTTATGAGGGGTATTCCAAAAGTCACATGAATCATAACATTGGCAATAAAACCTTATCTTTCCTTGAAAACCTCATCTTTCCTTGTTTTGGTTAGATATATTTGTGCTAGCATGTAATTAGTTTTCTTGTGCAGTTGTGAGGGCTAAGGTACGTTTTCTTATTAGCAGCTAGCAAAAAAAGAAAACCACCAAACTTAATACTGTAGACAAACTGAGACATTTAAGCTCAAAGGAAACATTTTTCCAGCAGAAAAATGTATTAAAAATCACAGCTGCAACCACTCTGAATCAAAATGTTTTGGAGTAAATGGTAATAGTAAGTCCATAGAAAGGGACGGAACGCATTCTGGAAAGAAACGGACGGAGTGTTAACTAAGGCATTGCTATACATTGCAGTACTATTTCAAATAATGAAAGGCATAATGAAATTAACTGCACATTCTCAGATGTAGTAAGCACGTGCAGCACTGTTATCGTGACAAGTCCCAATAATACTGTAGTATCAATGTTTCATAAGCTCCTATCTCTTCAAATGTGGAGTCATTCTGCCAGCACCTCTAAAACCTGTAGTGCTGAACACAATTCCATGCATAAGGTGGATTCATGAGAATTTTAGTCTAATATGAATTTGATTTAAGCTTACAGAGTGGTAACATTTCCAGTGTGTCTGGAAACACTGTAAAAACTAAAGTCTTCTACACCATTTAGCATGAAAATCAAGTGATACTTTTATTAAGAACCTAAACTGTAATTAGTGATTCCTTGCTGATTCACAAACTCTGGAGCAATGCTACTCTTCCAACCCAGTGTTGTCTTTTCATATCAGAGCATGAACTCCAGTACTGTGCACTTACATGTGGTTTTGTTTGTTTATGCAGTCTTGTAGTTCAGAGCCACAAGCTTGCCTCTGCCTCTTAAGTAGAGGTAGTCATGTAGCTATGGTAAGCCAAATTGGAAGGAAGTTGAGAGCCTCATGAGTAACAGCTTTTTTGGTTTTATGGCAAACCTTTCTGTTTTTGCTGTGCCGTGCCACATGCTTGAGCGGTAGTGCTCATAAAGTGGAGGAACTGATCTTGAACTCTTTATCCTGCATGCAGCATTTCTAAGTCTAGCTGTCCATTTCAAGTGAATTAAAGCTATTTTTTCACATACATGGTTCTGTAAATTCCTTACAATACCTACCAAATTTTTGGTTGGAAAATACATGTATATTTATATAACTAACTGTAACACAACTACTGCTGTTATTTTTTTTTTTAAAGCTGCTCATGCAACTGTTTTAATCTGAACTCCTTACCAGTTATTTCTCTCTTGGCCATAACTCACGGACAAATTATTCCTTCCTGTTCTTCAGCTCTCTGGTTTTCTATTTGTATTGTTCCTTCTTCAAGATGCCCTTTCCTTATATGCTATACTTTTTTCACCTAGGTCCTGCATTCCAAAACCCAACGGTATTTATTCCTCCGCTTATAGCCTGTGCGCTGGCCTGGCTTTTAAACTTCTGATTACATGTAATAGTGCTGAATCTTTTGGTCTTAAGAACTAACAGATAGCTCTTTGTCTATTCCTTCTATCATCAGCAGCATCCCAAATGCTGAGAAGCAGTACAATATCTAGTAAATAATGTAAGCAGTTTTATGCTATCTAGTGAATGATATATAACTGTGGCCAAAGTGAAAGTAAAGAAGTAACATCACTGTTTGTGGTAGGAATTTTTATTGTACTTTGTTACTTGAGAAAGAAGAACATACTTCCTTGATTCAACATGATCAGCATCTTGCTACTGCTTAGGATAACCTAGCAAATCCAGTGTTCCCAATACTAATTTAATGTTTTTATTTTTCATAAATTAACTCCTTAAAACAGAATAAATGTGCATTCTTTTCATGTTCTAGTAGCTCCACTACTTTGCTTTATTATTTAATCAATGCCATTAAATGTATCCCCTAAAGGAGGGAGGCTCTGCAAATCCACAGCCATGAGAAAAAAACACACTTTTTTTTTTTATAATTTAACAGTCTAATAAAACCAGACCTATAGATACATTAGGAAATAAATCCAGTTACAAATACATGTATATAGAAGAAACCTACGTGGATGTCAGAACAGAAAATGATCAGCTATTTACAAGATACACAGCAGGATGGTATAGTAGCCAAGACCCACCATTCAGAAACCAAATGTGTTCTCTCCACTGTAGGCAACATACAAGAATCCATCTTCATCCTTCTCCTTCTCATAAAGTTGTCCCATAGTTAAGCTTGAAGAGGGAAAAATGAAACAGCTTGCTTGGATCACAACAGTTGCAAATGGTAACAGAATCTCACATAAAGATTAATAAAAGCTAAAATTAAGTCCTATGTATAAATTAAAACACACACACACACACAAAGTTGACTCCTGATTTCACAAAATGATCCTGGGCTCCCTGCAGGACACCTAGATTTCTGTTACTTGTGTACCTAATAAGTACATCTATGAAAATGCTTCCTTATTTTTATTAGAAATTACTCACTGGATGTATTTCAATTTCTGAATTGTATGTTATTGATGCTGTGACTAATAGCAAGATTAACAGCCTGGTAGCATCATCTTTCAATGCAGCTGAACTGAAACCTTGCTGCTTGTGTGAAGAACCTAATTTCTCTCTCCATATGCTGTAGTCTTGAATGTTCAGATGGTCTTAAGTTCACCAAACTTATGCTGCTTGGACTGTTTATCTGAGGTCCAGGTTGTTTGGAGGAGTTAAAGCTTTGTTTTCTGTATTGTTAAAAAGTGATGACTTAAAGTAGTGCTATTACTAAAATGTGTGGGCAATAAATTCCATGCTAGCTAAAAGCTAGTGTTTTTTTCAGTGGATAAAATTTTGAATGTCTGGACTATTTTTTTTTTAACAGGATAGGCATGTGGCCCTTCACAGTTTAAGTAGTCTTTAGTGGGATACTTTACTGTGAAAAACAGTAACAGAACCAAGCAATTACTTGGCCAGTAAATTGTTCCAACCATCTGTGAAGCACAGATGAAACAGGCAGTTGACTTTAGTCAGGTGCACAAGTGGTGCTGCTTCTGCTCACCTTTGACTTCCCAAGATTGTTTGAGAAAAGACTAGTGAACTGGAAGATGCAGACTGAATGTGAGTGATGGGGAAAAGAGTCATGGGTTTTTACCCATAAGAAAGGGATGCCACATGAGAGGAACTGGAGAGAGTTGCAGGCAATACTAGAAATAGAAGGAAATTGGTAAATAGTAGATAAACTTCAGGATGAGGAGAGAAGAGTGGCAAGAGTTAGTGGTCTATGCAATAAATTTGTCCTACAAGAGAAGTAGCCATTGATCAATATGATTTTTATCTGCTAACAAAAGTTAACATTTTTCCATTAGCTTGAAGCTTCAGCGTCCTGTATTTCCAGCAGAGATGAGAGATCTCATCATTAATGTGAGATTAGATAATGTGCTGTTTCTTTTCCTTTCCTGTTTGTTGCTAGCAGTTGTATAGCACTAAGAAGATGGCACTAATACGTTCCTAATGCTCCCAGAAGAGAGAGCATAGAAAAAGGTTCACAGGTCCCTATTGTGTATCATGAATTAAATAAAAATATTTCTAGCTGAGTCTGGACAAGTTACCTGGGAGTACTGTTACAGAGGTAAGGGTTAGTAAGAATAATGCTGCATCTAAGCCACATAATGTTACATGCTATTCCTTCGAATATTAAAAATAGCTTGTATAGTAAGTAGCTGCTTCTTCTATATATTATTCTGTATGTAGCAGGCAACCATTGCAACGTATTCCAATACAAAAGCAATGTGAAAAACCTTTCTATAGTCATTTTGCATTTCATGCTTATATTAAAAAAAAAAAAAGTGATTAAAAAAGTAACAGTAACTCACATATAGTGTCATTTCTTTGTGAACTGACAGAGGTAGGTTAATGTTTTTTCAGAATAATTTATGGTGTTTGCTTTTGAGCACTTAACATGCAACCTTTTTGTTATACTGAGGATTATTTGCCATTGATGATATCAGTGTTGTTCCTATGTTCAACCAAAGATAAAATGCCAGAGCTTACCCTCTTGCCATGAAAGTAATGATAATACATTTTGTAGTCACCTTTCCTTTAAGCCTAGCTTGAGAAACAAGATATTTATCACATATGAGGGGGGGGAGGGAAGCAGCGAGATTTAAATTGTAAATATGTGCCTTCTAAAAATCACCAAATAAGCCTCAAAAGGAGTTAATGTCCCTCTGATATGGTTCTGAATACCAAGTGAACAGCCTCTTACCTAGACTGTGGGACAGTCTTATCTACAAAGAGGAATATTGCCTTCTCAGAGGGCAGCTGAATCCTCTTCCTGATGATCCACATGAACTGGGCCACAGTGATGTCAGATGGAACTAAGTACTTCCTCTTGTCAATATCAACAATCTGAGATCCTGAGACCTTCTCCACTATGACCTGTAAAATATAAGCATGAAAGTGAGGCTTTTCTATGAACAGAAGGCTTTGATAAATCACCTGCTCTAACCAAAATCTATCCTCTTTTTAGTTTAGAGACATTACTCCTTGTGCTGTCACTGCACTGCTTGACAGAGAGTCCTTCCCCAGCTTTCCTGCAGCCACTGGAGGGCTGCTATAGGGTCCCCCCAGAGACTTCTGTTCTGCAGGCTGAACAAATCCAGCTCTCCCAGCCTGTCTTCACAGGAGAGGTGCTTCAGCCTCTGATTCAACCTCGTGGCCCTCCTCTGGTCTCACATATTCCTTCCAAATGTGTTGGAGTCATGAAAAAATCAACAAGACTGCAGTACTGGTAAATCAGCAGTGGAAAGTGATATGGAAAACCCAGGGAACTACAGGCTTGACCTCAGTGCCTGGAAAGGTGATGGAACAGGTCATCTCGAATGCAATCACACAATGTAGGTGGGACCACCGGAGGATCAGGCCTAGTCAGCCTGTTCATGAAAGGCACGTCCTGCATAACCAACCTCATCTCCTTGTACGACCAGGTGACCTAGCTGGTGGATGAGGGAAAGCCTCTTGATGTAGTCTACCTAGATTTCAGCAAGGCCTTTGACACGGTCTCCCACAGTATTCTGGAGAAGCTGGCAGCCTATGGCTTGTACAGGTATACTCTTCGCTGGGTTAAAAACTGGCTGGATGTCCGTGCCCGGACAGTGGTGGTGAATGGAGTGAAATCCAGCGGGAGAATGGTCACCAGTAGTGATCTCTTGTGGTCAGTGTTGGGGCCCATCCTCTTTAATATCTTTGTTGATGATTTGGATGAGGGAATTGAGTGCACCCTCAGGAAGTTTGCAGGTGACACCAAGTTAGGGGGAAGTGTCGATCTGCCAGAGGGTAGGAAGGCCCTGCAGAGGGACCTGGACGGGATGAGTCAATGGGCAGAGGCCAATGGGATGAGGTTCAACATGGCTCAGTGCCACGTTCTGCACTTTGGCCACAACAACCCCGTGCAGCGCTACAGGCTTGGGGCAGAGTGACTGGAAAGCTGTGCAGAGGAAAAAGATATGGGGACAATGATAGATGCTCACCTGAACATGAGTTGGCAGTGTGCCCAGGTGGCCAAGAAGGCCAAGGGCATCCTAGCTAGTATCAGGAATAGAGTAGCCAGCAAGACCAGGTACGTGATTGTCCCCTTGTATTCAGCTCTGGTGAGGCTGCACCTCGAGTACTGCGTTCAGTTTTGGGCTCCTCAGTACAAGGACATCAAGGTCCTGGAACACGTCTAGAAAAGGGCTACAAAGCTGCTGACGGGTCTGGAACACAAGCCCTGTGAGAAGCAGCTGAAGGGATGTGGGATTGTTTAGTTTGGAGAAGAGGAGGCTCAGGGGAGACCTTACTGCTCTCTACAACGGCCTGAAAGGAAGGTTTAGGGAGCTGGGGGTCAGCCTCTTCTCACGGGTAACTAGCGATAGGACTAGAAGGAATGGCCTGAAGTTGCACCAGGGACGGTTTAGGTTGGAAATTTAGAGACATTCTTCTCAGAAAGCGTAGTCAGGCATTGGAATGGGTTGTCCAGGGAAGTGGTGGTGTCACCGTCCCTGGGGGTGTTCAAGGAAAGGTTGGACCTGGTGTTTAGGGACATGGGTTAATAGGTGATATTGGTAGTAAGGTGATGGTCTTGAAAGTCTCTTCCAACCTTAATGATTCTGTGATTGTGAAGTCCACTCACTCACTTTGTACATATGCTGCTTATTTTGTCTTTGTCAGTATCTCATACACAGAAAGTGGCAGTCATTGATTGAAATTTTGTGTTACATAGAACTGTAGTCTGCAAGGAGCATTCCCTATTCTCTTGTAAAATGTTATATGATAAAATAGTTATTATAGTTATAAAATAGTAATTACCAAGAAGTAAAGGTTTAATACATACACACCACTTCTACCCATCAAACTTAACTGTCTCCTCTGAACAAAGCCCCAAGTCATTCCTAATTCGTGACAGAACTGATTGCCTTGATATGGAGTATAGCAAAAGGGCAAAAAAATAAAAATAAAAAATTCATCAACACTAAAGCAAAAAACAAACAAAAAAATCAGTACTAAGGTAAGAGGGAGAACCACCAGCCTAGTCTAGAATCTAATGTTTTCGACTTCACCTGCTGTTCACAATCCTAAGATGCCAAAATGTCTCTTAGGCTTCTATGTAAAGCATAACTTGATTCACTATTTTTTAAGTATTTTGTATTTATCTGTGCAGTATACTGCACCATCACAGAATATGTACCAATATCATCACACGTGTACCAGGATCTCAGAAACTGTCATGCTAAGTAGAGCAGCAGCCATACTGTAGATATGAAGATATGTAGATACTGAAGAGACCATGTTATATCTGAATATAGTCAAAATTCTGATAGAGTTGCAGTGTAAATTGTATAATGTAAGGTTCTAGTTTGCCATAGATCCCATGTGTTTGTTTGTTTGTTTTTTTTAAAGTGTTTTGCTGCACAGCTTTTGAATTGTCATCCACACTGTCTGGGTTTGCATAATTAATCTGGCAATAATTATTCACCTCCCACAGTTAGGCACTAGGCATTTTAGCCAGGCTGTATGATGAGTCTAGGCAGAGAAAGGAAGCATGCCTGCAGCGTGCCCTGGAGTACCAGTTACTCTGCCAATGAAGCCAGTTGAGTGCTCCACCAGATTAGCAGAAATGTGCTGTGACGTGATCTTGTCTGTATGCTTCTGACATACTAAACTTAAACTGAGAAATGATCCAGCAGTATATGTTACGTATGATATTATCAACAATACGATTACAGCATCAGTTGGATGAAGTTACAGGACGACAAGGAAGCCATACTAATGAAATGTTGGTTTTAGCTATATATGAGTATGCATAAGAGTTATATATCAATAAGAGCCAGATGGGATACATAGACTTGGAAAAAAAGATGCCTATGTTAATCACCATTTTAGAATGTCTACAGATTCAGGTTTGCAGTAACATACTGATATTTTTCACTGGACAGCAGAAAAAAAAAAAAGTTTTATTCTGAATATGCGTAACCACACTTTGAAGCATACCGTTTGTTCTACCTTATTATTGTTGTCTCACTGATGCTATTCTCCTGTGTTACACTGAACTGACATTACACTATCTTACTTCATATGTTAGGAAGTTAAGAAATTGACCACAGGAAGGCAAGACAGCAAGTTGGTCACAAACAAAGCAAAAAGCAACATATGGGAGGAAGGTGAATTAAGTATAACTTATGGAAAGGACCTGATGGTTCCTTCAAGGCTAGGCCTTGAAGGAAGAATGCAGTATGTGGGGAAACAGGGCTGACAAGAGGTTGCTGTGCCTCCGTTGCTTAGCTCTGCACTCCTCATTGCTACAGCATACAGTTAAGGCTCGAGTAAATTTACAAAATACACTATGATCTGGGGAGGGTTCTTTTATTTGGTGCTGCCTACAGAAACAGGATGGTACAGTAGGTGGCCCTTGCAATTTAGTACATGGGAAGGGTGAAGAAGACCAAGACCAGACTGAAAGGAGCATTCGAGCTTTAACATCTGATACTTTAAAAAAGAGATTGCAATAATCTACCAGGCGTTTTAGCTTTACGATGCAGAAGCTGTCATAACTGGAAGTCAAGGCTATTGGTGAACTGCTTCTAGTAAAACTTGCAGATACCTCTAACCCTTGGATCATGTGATGCCCAGGCAAATTTAAAATAGCAGTGCTTTAGAAGCATGAGTGTCTTTTCGACTCCCATTTTATTTCTAAAGGGTCCAGGCTAGGACAGGGGCTATTCATATGGTATCTCAATACAGCTTAAGATGTTTGAGCTACTGAAATATCTACAAATCCATGGAGCCAGAGACAGCAGCTGAGAACTGCTCTGAAGGTCAGAACCCTCTGACCTACATCATTCTGGATGCAGACTACAGACTGGAAAGAAGAAAACACGCATTAAGTCTGCAAAACACTTTTGATCACTAAATGCAAAAGAATGTATATTTGATACCAACTACTTTGTAAAAGTTAGGTGTCTCAATCTGAAACATCATGCAGATTTTTTTTTATTTTCCTAGACAAAGCATCACGATGGACTTTGAGGTTTAATTCCCGTATCTATTTACACATTGCTATCCGTTCCCGATAACGTATCACATAATTCTGACTCATACTATGAGTTCCAATGTCTCTCTTTTTCCTCTAGGGTCGTGAAAGATATTCTGGAAATGCGCAAAAGTATACTTGTTAAGATATATGGTTATTAGCATGCTACAGTCTGTATTAGGTAGTTGGCCAAGTGGAAAATAGCAAGGATTGGATGAGCTTGCCAGACTACAACTGGAGAAGATGCTGTGACTAGGTTTGATTCAGAAAGAGAAAAAGGCAAAATGGTTAGAGGTCTGTGCTGTCTACTGGCTAAGGTACTTACGTAGAGGTCAGACAGGAATGTCACTAATTGGCATGTGATCAGATGGAATGTGGAAATTTTACTCCCAAGTATATTAGTTGAGAATGTGAATGTGTTGCTAGCTGTTACAGAAGAGCACGAAGTATGGTTATTTCACTGACTGAAACATGATAAAGGGGGTTACAGAGTGAAGAAAAGTTATTTGCTATTTAGCAGGCAGCAAGTATTAATGCAGAAAGGAAAAGTCACCACTTGCAATGGCTCTTCAAACAACAGAGCTTACATGAGGTAGGTTCAAGATCAGATTGCTTACAGGTAGATATTAAATAAGGGGAAAATTACAAAACTCATCTAGCCGTGATGGATGACAGTCAAGGTGTAATAATTTATTCTCTCTCTGGCACAGAATAAAATCTTCAAGAGACTGAAAGCATAGGGTCTTTGCTGAGAATATAATTGCTATTAGAAGAAACCAGGACACTCATAAACCATAGACACGTGGTGAGCATTCAGAAAGTCAGGCACTGTTGCTTACTTGAGAATACGTATAGCGGTAGAGGAGGGAATGCTGAATTAGTTAAATGTGTTTGGAGCCTCTTTAAAACATCTTTGTCACAAAATGGAAGATAAAAACACGAAAGATGAATTTATGTAGTAGGATGTGGTCAAAGAAGAGAAGGCAGGATGGGAACAGCTTATCCATCTTCGCCTCTACGTACTGGAATGAAGATGGCTTGGTTACTCACCGGGACGCGGTCAGGGTATTTGGCTCGGATTTTTGCTGACTCGACGCATCTGTGCTCTGTGAACAAAACTCGTAATTAGTCATTGGGATGGTAACAGTATCTATCACCGCTGTCCTAGGCAGAGTCAGCGGCGCTGCAGACATGGGAGCCGGTGGGGGCTGCGGCCGTCCTGCCTCCCTGCGACGAGACCCCAGCTACTCGGGGAGACCGTCCCCGGTTACCGCGCCAGCCTTCGGCGAGGGCCGCAGGGGGCTGTCCGCCCAGAGCCGCGACGACCGGCTCGGGGGCTGCCCGGGGCGTACCGAGTCGGGAGGCCCGGGGCAGATGGCGACGCAGGAGACGGGGCGGCGCAGGGCCGCCGGCGGGCAGCACCGGGCCCGGGCCCGCCCTTACCCAGCGCGTGGTCCTCCTTGAACATCCACTTCATGGCGCGGGCCGGGCAGGAAGCGGAGCCGGCGGCGGCGAGGCCCGAGTGCGGGCGGGCAGGGACTCGTGGCGGGCGGCGGGGCCTGTCGCTGTCACGGTCCCTGTCACAACAACAACAGCCGCGGCTCGGCAGGCGGGACTTCCGGTCGGTTTCCTAGCAACCGCCCGAACCGCAGCGCTTCCGGCCCGGCGCCGGCGGCCGGAGCAGTCTGAACGCCGAGTTCCGCGGCGGGCGCGAGGCCGCGCCTGGCCCCGCGGAGGCGTTCTCGGGGCGCTGGAGGTCGCGTCCCGGGGGTCCCGGGGGTCCCGGTGCCGTGGCAAGCGCCCGCGCCTGCGTCCCGCTCCTGTCGCCGGCTGCAACGAGCCGTCCCGGAGCGCGCGAGCCCAGTGCTCATTGGCTGCTGCGCCCGTTCCTCCTCGGCGCCCCGGCGCGCTGATAGGCGCGGCGTCCCGTCAGTCCGGCGCCTCGCCGTTGCCGCGGTGAGGGCGAGGGCTGCGGGCGGGCGCCCGATGGCGGGCGTGGAGCTGTTCTCGCACCCCACGTTCTACACTCGCTACCGGGCCGGGCTCTGCTCCGCCGCTGCGCTAGCGCTGCTGCTCATCGCCGTGTTCACCTACGTGCCGCCGCTGCTAGTGGCCTACCGCAGCCACGGTGAGCGCCGCTCGGCCCCGCGCGGCCCGGCCCGGCCCGGCGCTGAGGCCCCGCGCTGTGTCTGCCCGCAGGTTTCTGGCTGAAGCAGGGCGCGTACCGTGAGCAGCCCACTGTGCGGTTCCGGTACGAGGTGCTTTTCGTGGCCACCACTGGGCCCGGCCCGGGCAGCTTCTTGGCGTGGAGCACGTTCCCAGCGTTCAACCGGCTCCAGGAGGACAGATTGCGAGTCCCGTTGCTGTCGGTAGGCGTACCGGGCGGTGCTGGCGGGGACGCGGGTCGCGTTGGTGGTGCCTGTGAGCGAGTGGGCGGGCGCGCACCGCTGCCTTCGAGGAGCAGCGGCAGCCTCGTGCTTTGCACCTCACGTCTCTTGGGACGGGTAGTTTTTAATCAGCTCTTTTTTCTTTTCTTGTTTTTTGGACTGTGCACTTAGTCACGTGGTCTGAACTTTTGGGTAGACCTGTGCGGTGTCAAGAGTTGGACTTGATGATCCTTAAGGGTCCCTTCCAACTCAGGATATTCTATGATTCTATGAGCTCTTTTTTCTTTTCTTTTTTTCTTTTGTCTTTTTCCTTTTTTCTTTTTTCTATCCCTGTATGATTTATAGCACTCAGAACCTTGCAGGGGTTCACTGGTAACCCGTGGTTTTTAATGCAGGTATGTGCTTTCAAAAGCCTCAAGTCCCTACTCTGCAAGCAAATGTTCCTTCTGGGATTCAACAGTAGCAGTTACTTATCTGTGAAAGCTCTGTTATGCCTCCCTGTTATGTTTGCAGATAGCTGAAGAACTGTGCATTTGTCGCACAGAAGCATAGCAAGTTTTGGCTCCCAGCCAGGGATTGTACAAGGCACGCAGAAGCTGATAAGAAGCAGGCTGCAAGGGCAGAAGCTGTGCATTCGTGCAAGATGTGGCAGAAGATCCATCATGTGTACCAATGCCAGTATACAGGGAAGATTGCTGTAATGGCATAGGGCAGAAGAGTTCTTATAGGGCCTGATGAACTTTCCCTCCCTGGGGAGCACCCAGGGCATAGCGTTACAAACAAAATTTAGGTTTCTTGCTTGTCTCTAGTCTCATGTCTTTAAAGTAGCTTTTTATTGTTTTTCCGATGGAATCATTTGATTCCTTTTTATGAATATGTTGCAGGTGCGGAGATCTCCTAGACAATAACTATTCTTTGTATTTCTTTTTAACAGGAAGTTCTTAAGCAAACAAGCAAAACCATTTTTACTGCTTCTTTTAGACTAGGGAGGAAGACAAAAATCAAGATGGCAAAATGGATCAGTTGCATTTTAAACTGGAGCTTCCGCTACAATCTACCGAGCATGTAGTTGGTGTTCAGCTGATTCTAATCTTTTCCTACCAACTTTATGTGAGCATTTTTCATTTTATTCATTGTGACATATAGGCCCAATATAATATTCCAGCAGTGGTTATGCAAAGCAAGAAAGAATCTTTATGCATTTGAAATTCCTATTCAAAAGATTTATTTTGCTAATATATTTGATTTCCTTCTCTTCTGGGTCATTCCTAGTTTCGGTTTGTTCCATTGGTATGGTGGTTGGTGTGTGTTTTGTTGTTGTTCTGTGGTTATTTTTTGTTGTTGTTTTTGAAGCTGTACGTCCTCCTATTGGGTTGTAGTGCAGCATAGAGGATAGATCTACAGTAGTAGAGGTTGGAGGGACAGGCTGCTGCAGCATCCTGAAACTCCATAGGTTTTGTTTGTTTAAGAGCTTTTGAAACAATGATAATAATTTGCCAGGATCATCCATACCTCATAGCTGAGAGGGGACAAGAATGTGTCTCAGGGAGACAAGAACGCTTCTGCTGCCATTGTCTCTCTCTCAAGTGTTAGCGGGATTAATAGCTAGAAGAGTGGATAAAACCGCTGCACAGAGAAGCCACGGATGCATCCAAAGGCAGCAATAATGTATAGAATAGAGTTTGATGTAGCCAAACAGATGAGGAACTTTTACTAGAGAGATTAGGTTTAGCTTGTCTGAGAGACTCTTGCTGGCTGCAGGTAGACAAGTTTAGCTAAACTAAACTTTCAGCTGAGCTAAAAAAATTAATAATCTTAAACCCCTGAGATCCAGAGTAGAAGCCTTTACAGTCCTAAATTTATGTGCTGAAGTATTAGTTTAGTCATTAATATCATATGGAAAGTTCCAGTAGTCACAATGCCTTTGTTTTACAGTAAATTTGAAAATTTTCTTTCAGATTGAATGGCTGATGAGGGCAGAGGAATTTCCTTATCAAGCCCTTATTGCAGGGTATTGGTTTTGATGTCTGAATATTTTAAAGTTTACTTTCAATGAATGTGTTTAATTATCTGGCTGCTTTTAACATGTTATGGAAAGTCTTTTTTTTTTTTTTTTTTTGTTATTAGCCACAAACTGTTGGACTCTGCTGAATTATGTATGGAACTTTTAAAATCAAACAAAGTTAGTTAATCAAGAACTATGCTAGTTTATTTTCATATTTCTCACTTGGTCCTCCCTTCTTTAGAATAATGTGATGATCTGAAACCTGGGCATCAATAAAATAAAATCTATGCAGAAAATTTATAGATACAAAGAGTTAGAAAACTGTAGTTTTATTTGCTTTTCCTGATTTTTCTTTTCTCATGTTCACTGTTTCAGAGAATGTCAACACTTGTGATGCAGAGCATGGCTTTCCTTCAGTTTTTTTCTCCTGTACCAGGATCTCAGCTCTATATGAATGGAGACCTGAAACTGAACCAGAGGCAATTGCTTAACCACTGTGGACTGGATACCAGATACAATGTGAGGACTTCTTTATTATTATTATTATTATTATTATTATTTTGTCTTTTCTCCATTAATTTCCTCCCTTACTAGCACCATAGGTGACACTCTAGTTATTCATACCCGAGGGACCCAAGGAAATGGCTTGAAGCTGCAACGGGGGGGCAGTTCAGGCTGGGTATCAGGAAAAGGTTCTTTACTGAGGGGATGGTCAGGCACGGGAACAGGCTCCCCAGGGAATGTGTAACAGAACCAAGCCTGCCTCAGTTCAAGAAGCATTTGGACAATGCTCAGACACTTGGTCTGATTTTTTGGGTGGTCCTCTGGGGACTTGATGGACTTGAGTTGGACTTGATGATCTTTGTGGATCCCTTCCAGCTCAGGATATTCTATGATTCTATGTTTGCACAGAGTGGACCATAGAACTTCTGAACTCTTAAACATTTATTTGTAGGGCTGAAGGGTAGAAGAGAATCTTTTGCCAAGATGTTTAGTGTGACATCTGTGTGCTTTCCTTTCAAGACACGGTTACTTTGCTTAACAAACTCAGTAGGATTACTTTCTTGAAGAGTGGACAAGTAACGTAAATATCTCCTTGTGGCAACAGGTGTCTGTGGTCAATGGCACAAGTCCTTTTGCAGCTGACTATGATCTAACAAACATCATTGCAGCATATCGAGATAGAAATGGTAAGCCTGACTGTACAGCTGCTAATTGCAGCATAGCAGTAGTTAGCATATTGGTAGTTGCTCTTAGAGGATTTAAATTCTGTGTTAAGACTGAAAACCCCATTAACTTGGATGTTTTCTTTCCCCATTTTAGTGACGACAGTTTTTTCAGACCCCAACCCTGTTTGGATGACTGGAAGAGCAGCAGATACACCATTCATCATTAATGCTACTATTCATTACCCAGAGGAAGTTATCCTATATCCTTAGAAAACTGCATTAACTGAAACATAATTGGATAGCATTATTCGAGCCTTCATATACAGGCCAAATTAACACTGCTTTCTCCTAGACTTCTTGCTAAACTTTTCCTTTGTTTGCTTAGCATATGCTGTAGTTGCAGCGTTAGCTGAATACTTGTTTACCCATAACTCCGTGTGTGCAACTTCCAGATGGTTCTGCTTACATAACTGTTTTCTGTCTTTACTGGGAACCCCTGCTGCTCTTCACCCTTACTAAAATGACCTTTTAAGGTGGTTTCTGAGCAATTCATAGTGAATCTCATTAGTAAGCCTTGCTTTGGTCCTGCAGTCCCACTTTGTTGTGGATACAGAAGAGAAGTAATGTTTGCTACTGGCAAAGCACGATACTACACTTTCTGACCTAAAGCAAATCAGAAATCTGTATACAAGGTAGGTTCAGCCAATAATAACCCCTGAAGTGGATGTGGCAAATCTGTTACCTATACAGACAGTCCTGAAAACTTTTTGCTCCAAAAGAATGATTTATGTTCTTTACTCGGTTTCTCAGACAAGCACTGGCCCGTGTTTTGAAGAAAATGTATATAGCACATCTCTCACAAGGTTTATTTACCTGCCTGAGTATTACCAATATCTGCTTTTTGGTGAAGCAGGGACAAAATAGAAATTTTGCACAGAATTGATTTGAACATCTTCTAGGATAGGTATTTTGCACAGCATTTCTGTGGTAAAATGCTTTTTGAGATTTCTGTGACTCAGCGGCTTTGCAGTTGCCACGCAAACTGATGTCTAACCAATTTGGTGCCTTTCCACCTCTGATTCTCTTGTTTAGTTACTGCAGTGGTTGTATCAGAAGTTTCTCCATTAACACTCCTTGACTCTCTTTAAATATCAGCCAGGATTTTGGGAAATCATTAAATTTGCCTGGATCCAATATGTCAGCATTCTCCTTATCTTTCTCTGGGTCTTCGGTAGGATTAAAATGTTTGTGTTCCAGAATCAGGTGTTCACTACAACTCCAATATCATCAGTTCTGCCGTTGTCTCCAGTGTTGTCCTGCAAACAGCATCAGTCCTGAGGAGATGCCTGAGAAAACTTTAAAGAAACCCAGTTCAAAAATTAGTACCTGATTTTATTATCTGTACACACTTTCTACTTTGAAAGATAGAACTTGGTACGTATGTTCTGAGTACGTTCTCTTCTTGCTCTATGTTGCTATGACATTATGTAATTTTTCCTTTTTAAAATATGTTCATTCATGCATCTCTGTGGGAACATTGCTTTCGGACTGAAATGGTTAACTTTGGACAGTTAAACAACCCCCCCCAAAACAGGTAATCCTTTGTTTTTGATGAGATTATATGGCTACCACAGGAGAGTACAAGAAAAAATATACCTGCATGTGGATCCATAACAGCTAGGATTGAGACTCCTTTTCTTGGAAGGCTGGCTGTAAGACCTTTTCCTTTAGCTTGCTAAGCAGCAGTAAATAAAAATTCCACTGCAGTCCAACACCATGCTACTGCACAGAACTACCGTGTATGCACTTGTCAGAGAGCAATCTGAACCTCGTTCACTGAGGACGGACTGAGAGGCATGCTAAAATAAGTTTGCTTTCTGGAAGTGTCTCGTTAGGAGAAAAAATAAGTAGTGGGTTAAAAATCTCACAATAAAAGATAAAAGCGGGTTTGGAAATGTCTGGGGGGGCGAGTATTAAGAGCATGCCTCAGGGGCGCTGCCAGATTGAAAACGCCTCCGCGCTCGTTTAAGGAGCCGAGCGGCCTGCGGCGGGTGGCACAACCCGGCTCCCGTGCAGGGCTCGCGCCAGGCCGCTAACGGCACCGCGGCTGGGCTGCGGGCGTCGAACCCGGCGGGCCCGGGCGCCTCGAGAGCGCCGTGGGGGGTGCGGGGACACGGCCCGGGCTGGCAGCGCGGCAGCGGAGCGGCTCCGGTGGGGCTTCCCGGACCCTGCGAGCGGACGGCTACGGGCAGCGGGGCCGTGCCCGGCCCGCTGCACCCCTGCCGCGCCGGTCCCGCTTGGGCGGCCGGGGGCGGGGCGGGCGGCCCCTGTCAGGCGGGTCCCTGCCGGGGATGCTCCAGCGCGGGGCGGATCGGCGCCTTCCCGGGCTCCTCCCGCTGCCGCGGCGCCTTGGCCACGTCTGAAAGCGGCCCATTGTCTCCGTGGGGAGCGCGGATGCTCGCGGTGCCGGGAGGCGGCGGGGAGGTACGGCCGGGCCGGCGGGGGCGGGGGGCGTTCCGCAGGGCCCCTGCCGCGGCCGGCGAGCCGGGCGGGCGGGGGGTCCGCGGCGAGGACGGGCCCCTCCTCGCCGTCCGCCGGCAGCGCCCGCGGCCCGGCGAAGCGGAGCGCTCTCTTTCAGCCGCTCGCGCTGCAGGACCGGGCGGCCGGTGGCTTGGCGGCGGGGCTCCGCGCGGTGCCGCGGTGCGGTCGGTTGCGGTCAAGGGGACGCTGCTGAAAATGTGCTTTTTTTATTATTTTTTTTTTCCCCATCCTGTCCTTTACTTCCCTAGAGAATATGGCTGATCCGAGTCAAGGTGTTTTTGCCGGAATTAGACTGTTAAATCAGGTGCTGTGGAGAGCATTTCCTGCCGTTCCCGGGAAGTCCCTTCCCACTTCTCTGAAGTGCCCAGCCTCTGTGTGTAGGTGAAAGCGGCGTGTAGGAGGAACGACCTTGTCATAGTTTCTTACCTGGAACGGTTGCTTCCGTGGGGCTCTGCGCAGCGCGCCTCTGCCCTCGCGTCCCCGGCCGCTCCGGGCCGCCGCCGCCCTGGTGCTGGCAAAGCCCGCGGCGGGGGAGCGATCGGTCACCGCAGGTGTCCCCACGGCCCCAGTTTTGCCATCCTTAGAAACAGTCGGTATTCCCAACGCAGATCTGAAGACACGAGGTCTGCTCAGTCGCAGTCTTGTTTTCTAGTAGCTGAAGACACCTTGTGATCCTCAGCATGGAAAAATAGGTGTTGTAGGGCTATGCCTTGACGCTGCCGTTTGTTCAGGGTGTACAACTTTATTTAACTCAAAACCGTTTTGGCCAAAAAAAAAATAATATCAAATCCTGACACCTTATATACATATATACATATATATATATATACACACACATATATAAAACTTTTATAGTTATATCATGAAATCTGTGGTCTGTTCCATTACATTATGAAGTATTACATTACGTTATGAAGTATTTAGGCTTGATGGTTACCTGGGAGTGACTCTTCCATGTCTTTGACCACTAAATTGTAAAAGAAACGCTGTTTTCAAAAGCAGAAATAGCACCGTCAGCTAAAATGATAATACAATGTCAGAATTTAAAACATCTGATTATGGTTCCTTTAATGTAGTTTAATTATTTCTGTTGTTGTACTTTCACTGTTAGGTTAAAATAATCAAACAGGCAATCCATTCAATGATTTAGCAATCAACAACTATTGGAAATACTTTTAACTCTTTTTGAAGTACTAGTGGTTATAGAAGGCACCCTCTAAGCTTTTTAAATTATTATTATTATTATTATTGTTATTTTTTACCACACACTGTTGACAATACAGCAAGCTTTTGTCTTGTGAAGATGTTCCATTTCCAGTTACGGAATACCATTGTTAAGCAACATTTTGTCAGCCGTGTGATTTATAGGAAGAATTACTGTAATGTTGTGCTTTGTTCTCGGATCTGTTTTGTAATGTTCATGCATTTTCACTGTTTTGAGCAGCAAAATTGTTTCACAGAAGCAATTCTGGTGGTGGTGATTTTGTTTTGGTTTGTTTTCTCTTATACATATCGGTGTAACGTCTTACATCTGAAGTATGTAATGAGTACCACCTCCATAAAACATAGACCTCCAAGTGATCTTTGCTCTGTTTATCAAGCCATGCACAAACATTTTCCTATTAATTCTATAAAAGGCATGACACTTACTAGTATGATCGTTTTCACAGTCAGTTCTGAGGTGTACCGTGGTGAATTATAAGTACATAAATCTTAGGTACATTCAACTCTAATGTTTGGTCTGAAAGTCAGCATTTAGTGTATGACAGTCATACGGGACAAAATAATTTTCTGCTATTAAAAGCCACAGGATATAATACATCATTGGATATTCATTCAAATTTGTATTTTTGCATTTTGTGGAAGTTAAACTTATTTCTTTGTAATCTATAAAGACTTTGGCTTTAAAAAAATACTTCATAAATACAAGCTGTTTTAAAAGCAAGTGTGCTTGAAATGTTCTTAGACACAAAATGGCTGGGGAAGACTTTGGCAAAGACAGCTATGATTCAGTTGCTCAGAACTCATTTTGTGGGAGCAGGTACTTGTCATTCTTCCCTCAGCTGTTTTCAGTTCTTTGCTTTATTCTAGCCCAAATTTTCAGTTTTCCTGCAACAAACCCAGATCTTTTTGTTCTGAGAGAGTCTTTCATGCCAGTCTTTTGCCCCAGGTCAGAGAGCCCATATGCACTGCTCTCTTTCTGTCTTTAGTATAATGTAATAGGAGGATTTTTTTTCTTTTTTTTTTTTTTTTAACTCTAAAGTTAATTTTTGTTCATTTTCAGGTTGAATTCTGTACTTAAAGGAAGTTCACTCAACAGTAATGCTGTTCCCAGACTGCAAAGATGTTTGCTTGATTACAATATTACTTGTCTCATGTGACAAATCCCTCATGTGATAAGTCCTTAAAAGCATGAGTTAAATGATCATCCTCTGCACAAATTATTTCTTCCCTTCTCCATATTTTGGTACCATTTTAGGTCTGAAAAGTGCTCTGTTAATACCATTGTAACTGTTATTAAAATAATTTATGCCTAGCAGCATCTTTATGTATAAAAGTGTATATTGTGATACCAACTATTGTGATATTTCAAACTTTGCAGAGACATGAATAGTGTGAGGCAATTTGATGTCCTTATCAATCAGATTTTCTACTTCTTGCAGCATCATTGCCACTTCTGTTCATTCTGGTCTCATGAGCGAATGAGAAGGTGCTTGCTAACGGATCTGGTCACTGAGAAGGTATCTGAAGTTGCAGTAATGGACAGGAAGTCCAGCTGCTGTTGTGCTCCCTTTCAGCCCTTGGTTCATATTCATCCTGGACATAGTCCTGGGCAGCCTGTTCTGAGTGTCCCTGCTTGAGCAGGAGTTTGACCAGAAGATGTCCCGAAGTCCCTTCCAACCCCAACCATTCAGTGATACTAACCATGGTCCTTTAATCACCGTTTTGACGGGGCAAAAGACTTGCAGTAGCTTAATGAAAAACACGTGTTTTTTTGTTGTTGTTGTTGTTGTTGTTTGCTTGTTTGTTTCACAGAAGCTGTGTGAGCTTATACCTTCCACTGTTCATTTGTACTTTGTAAGCTTGGCAATTAGCTGTGTGGTTCCGTAAAGTGAGTAGTGACCGAGGAGGCTTGAGGGACCCGATCATAAGGGAGGCCTAGCATAACTCCACCTGAAAAGTATATGTAAATAATTTGATGACACAATTATGCACTAGATGTTCAAAAGGTCTAATCATTGATAACATAAATATCTGAGTGAATGGCTCGAGATGTATTTTGTTGGCAGCCATGATCTGGGGCTCCTCCTTTCGTAACTATGCCTTTTTTCCCCCCTTCCTTGTGCCAGCTCCAGTACTGTTATGTACAGTGTTGCATTACTTAGACACTAAAGAGCTAGGTTAAAAAAAATGAGTGATTAGTTCTCTTCCAAGCTAGCAGACTGAAGTGGCTTAGCAAAGTGTCTGATAAGCATTACGAACTATGCAAGGGAGACTTAATGGGCCTTGGGTTTCATCTTCAGAGGTGCTGTTGCAGGCATGTGTCATGGATATTGGTGCAGCATTGATGCAAATGTGGAGTCACTGGACAAAATGCCTCAATGGGCAGCATAACAAAATTGGGGATATCCATGGTTTTAGAGATATATAAATGCTTTTGCGTAGCTACAGAATGATATTATGTGATGAAGCAGGGAACATAATAAAACAGTGAAAAGGCATTTTTAGCTGAGTAGGTGAATATAGAGAGTATGTCATGCAAGTGAAAGACGGTAGTTTGGGAGAAAAAAAAAATATTTCTGTTCTTTTCCTTGGCTTAAAAACAAAAGTTTAGTAGCAAATCTGTGTTCATTTAAAATAGCGTTTACATCCTGATGAGACATTTGGGCAGTGGAAAGAGCTGAAACTGCCTGTTTTTACCATCTCTTTTAATTAACCATTTATTTCAGCTTTCAGTACTAGTAAATAGTCTTTTTCATGTTTTATAATGCTAGCACTAAGAACTTAGCTCATGTATTACCTCAAATGGTTTTGCATCTGTATTTGCTAGTCTGCATTATTTGTTTTCAACAGTCCAGAGTGTTTTGGTATATCTGCCATTCATTGTAACAAGAAAAAAAAATATGTTTAAATGCAGTTAGATAGTAAATACTTCCACATAAAAGCCTTGATATGGTCTTCATACCTGAGAATTCATGTTTCCCTAAAACCCAGCCTGTTAACATATTAACTGCTTTCAAGTGGAATCTGCAAAAGTGAGAGTACAAAGTCAGGTGCCAAAAATCTCTCGGAAAAAGTTGTGAGGAGTGCATGTAGCTAATTCTAACTCAAAAATGGATAGTTCCTTAATCACTCATGGGGAATATGCACTCCATACAAAAGGCATGCATCCACTGCTTGTCCCGTACAACATTTATAGCCAGAAGCTGCTTGAGGTTGCAAGTTTACACCCATCTCCTGTAATTTTGAAAAACAGGATGTTGTGCACTATCATCAGTTGGTTTAGTGTCCTACTGTCACCACAGGGCGCAACACTTACAGTTAATGAGAAGATTATTTTAATTTCGGTACCTGCAGTTGCTAATGTTCCTATCTAGCAATAAAAACCCTTGTACTGTTAGACTGAGATTGAAATACAGTGGAGTGGAGTGACTAAGATTTTCTTTTTCCTTGGCAGCATTTCCCAGAATCCAAGCTGAGACCATTTTATATTTTTTATTATTTTTTTTCCAGCAGTTGAGCAGCCTCAACACAAGATTTCTTCACTACTTCAAACCTTCACTACAAACTTACTTTTACTGTGATCTTGCTGTAGTGCATTTCTTTCTTTCTGTTTTCAACACCCATCCATCTGCAGATGTTCTCCTCCAAATACCACTGACAAAGGAACCTAATAGTACTGAATTATGTGTATGAACATTTAAAGAAAGGTCTTACTAATGCAAGAGTTTGTATTGTGTAAGTTTTATCATTGTTATGCCATAGCATCAACGGCTCACCGGCATTTTCCTTCTCTTTTTCAGCTTTTTTAATTGCTTTTCCTCAGTGAGAATGGCAAGGATTCGGATCTCTAGCACAATTGTTATACTTTTTGTTATGGTTCAGACTGGATTCTTAGTCTTCATGTATGCCCGGTACAGTAGCTTCATGCTTCAGTCTGAGGAGAAACCGTCTCAAGTCCACATCCTCATTCTCTCCTCCTGGCGGTCAGGATCTTCTTTTGTTGGTCAGCTTTTCAGCCAGCACCCCAGTGTCTTCTACCTGATGGAGCCTGCCTGGCACGTATGGGTTACGATGTATCAGAACAGTGCCAAGGTCTTGCACATGGCAGTGCGGGACCTAGTCAGGTCGGTCTTTCTGTGTGACATGTCTGTGTTTGATGCTTACATGCCTTGGAAAAGAAACTTATCTGATCTTTTCCAGTGGGCAGTGAGTCGAGCTCTATGTTCAGCTCCTGCTTGTGACTCCTTTCAACGTACTGACATAACCAGTGAAATGGCATGCAAGACTCTTTGTGGACGGTACCCATTCACCAAGGTGGAGGAAGCCTGTAAAACTTACAGCCATGTTGTCATCAAGGAGGTTCGTTTTTTTGACTTGAAGGTCCTCTACCCACTTCTCACTGATCCATCCCTGAACCTCAAAATCATTCACCTGGTCCGTGACCCCAGGGCAGTTGTCAAGTCACGAGAACAATCAGTCAAAGCATTGGCCCGTGACAATGGAATTGTTCTGAGTACCAATGGCACTAAAGTGGAAGATAGCAAATACAAAGTAATGCAAGAGATTTGTAGAAGTCATGTTCAGATTTATGAAACAGCTACTCTAAAACCACCTAGTTTCCTTAAAGATCGCTATCTGATGATCCGTTTTGAAGATCTGGTGAGAGATCCGTTATCAGAAATCTCAGAAATGTATAAATTTGCAGATCTTAGTTTGACGCCCACACTCAAAAGTTGGGTCTATAACATCACACATGGACAGGGGCCAGGAAAAAAAAAGGAAGCCTTCAAAATCACATCTCGAGATGCAGTCAATGTTTCCCAGGCCTGGAGAAATGTTCTTTCATTCCAGAAAATTAAGAAAATACAGGAAGTTTGCAAAGGTGCTATAAACATGCTTGGCTATCAGCTAGTGGATTCAGAAAAAGAACAAAGAGATCTGTCACTGGATTTAGTCTTGCCAAGAAGACAAAACCAATTCAGCTGGTCATCATTTAATCCAAAGAACTAAGACGTTACTTTGAAAGATGGGGGTGAGGGGTGGGGAGTATTTATCTATTGTGCAGTACGTAAGTAATTTGAAAATCCCTGTCTGATGAGTTTAATTAGCTTCCTGTCTGATGGTTTTCCAAGTAGTGTAAGCAGGTTTTTTTTTTTTTTTTTTTTTTTTTTCCTCCTGAGTTTTGTACACTACAAAACAAACAACAAAAACACGAGAAATGCAGCAAGGTACTTTTGCGATTGCAAATTTACAACAGAACTGGGCTGTTCTCATCATTGTTTTAAAAATATAATTTAAATACTTTGTATTAAAGAAGTTTAATAAGTGATCCTTGATAATAGTTTACTTCTAGTTCTGTGTTTTAAATACTCAAGAATTTCTGTCTTGTATTTGTGTATAGGGAACAAAGTAGAAACTGATTTCACTTTTTTACCTAGAATCACTTGACTTTTTTTTGTTCTAAAGTTGTGCAACTGTGTATTTTTTAGGCTTCCTTTGATGCTTTTAATTTCAACATAAATGTTCTTCAAGTGCTGGGATAACAGCAGTCATTCTGTTTTAAAAGGCGTAAGCAGTAGTTTCACATACTGATAGATTTCTTAGAGCTTTTACTGGAATGTCAGATTTTGTAGTCAGATATTTGAATGGAAGTTGGCAGAGAGCTCTATTCTTGGGATGGAAAAAAAAAAAAGAAAAGAGGTAACGAAACTTTGTGGGGAGTCTCTGTGGAAATATGTGGAATATAATGCTGTCCTAATTGTGTGTTTTAATGCTGTGACAGAGTAGGCACATGCTTGATTCCACAAATGCAATTTACATCATTATCCCCTTTCTTCCACACAACAGGTATTATTATTGAAGGTCACTGAGAAACGTAAGGTGTCTTTTTTAATACAATACATCTGTATTAAAGGCCAGCTGTGCTTACAGGGAGGGCACCCAATGCAAAATGGACATGCACTGATGTGACCGCAGTCCCAGTGATAGGGTGTCCCTTTGCCCAGGCTGCCTGTCTCTGGCTACCTCCTCCATTCTTCTTGCCTCACAGCTCCACGCTGGGACTCTTCTTTCTTCATTCTCCACCATTGGACACTGCAAAAAGGAAGGAGGACGCTGTGAGATGTGACCAGAGCTGGCTGCTGGGCCTGAAGGACAGTGGGATGCCCGCCGTGTAGGGAGGTACCCCCAGGGCTACATCTCAGGAACCCTCCTTGCGCACACGTGAGGCCCACAACACTTATTTTCTCCTCTGCTTAGAAATCCTAGTCCATCCGTGTCCCGTCCCCCTCCCCCCCCCCCCCCCCCCCCCCCACTTCCCAAGGACCTGCGTGTTCTGCTCAGGACCCTCCTGAGGTCCTGCAGGTCTTGCACATTTGTGCAGCAGCATCCTTTCCAGCTTGTACTGTGTTGCTATTTGTTCCATGCCCTCTCTGAGGACACCCACTGCCTTCTCAGATCCTGAGGGTTTTTTGTTTTTTTAACTGTATGTCAGAGGGCATGCAGCCAGGCTGACCATAGTGTGTGGCATGCTCAGCAGTAAAAGCTGGGGCAAAGATGGGGGGGGGTTGGAGTGGACATTGGACTCCTTACTTTGCTTGTGCATGATGCTTTTTCTGTGCCCATTAAGCTGTCTTAACCTCAACACGTGGCTTTCCTTGCTTGCACCTTTCTGATTCTCTTTCCCCGCCTTGGGAGGGGAAGCGAGCAAGGGTCTGCCAGGGGCTCAGGGCTGTCTGGGGCAGCTAACCCACACCCATTTTCTAAACACCCATAATTTTTGTTACTTCTTAGTTTTGAATATGTTTTAATGAAAATGCTTAGGAGTATGCTTTAAAGTCGTGGAGGTGTTCATGCTTTGAGGAAAAAGTTGCACCGACTTCTTAAACGCCTTCCAAAAGGACGGTAACTCCTAGGGGCGGCTCGGGTGGCAGTCATCGGCCAAAGAGCACACTGGCAGCTTGGACCTTGGATGCAAGTGCAAGGTGTTTCCTAAGTATAACATATACCCCCTTCTGGAGTTTACCTGTCTAGCATCAATTTGCCTCCAACAGATTTTGGTACTCCCAAGAGGACTGGGATAAAAGAAAGCACGTGTGCCTCAGCACTGCAGAATTTTATTCTGCAGACAAAATTAATTGTTCTGTGGTTAAGTTTTCTGGTGGCTTGTATTTGGCAGAAAGTACTTAGAAACACATTTTGCTTGCTTCCAAACATGTAAAGAGCAAGTCCTGTTACCTTTAGGCTTGTGCTAATTTTCCCTTAGGCCGGAAAAGGTAGAAAGATACCACCTGCTACAAGCTTTGTTAAGAGAGGACCCAGCATACCCGGACCTTCTTAAAAAAAACAACAAACCACCGCTAAAAAAAGGCAACAAAGAGGCAACCTCTGCCCGAAGTGGTGTGAACGCAGAAAGCTGTCAGTGGCATTTTTTTTTTTTTAACTCGCACATCAGCGAAGCTGTGCCTGCTCCTCTGCTTCCGGGCATGCGCGGAGCCGACCGCCTCGCCTAAGGAGGGGGAGCGGGGCGGCGCCGCAGGGCTCCTGCCCGCGGCAAAATGGCGGCGCCCTCTTCCGCAGCGGGAGCCGCGCCGGGCTGGCTCTGTACCGGGCTGGGAACCGAGGGCGGAAGTGACCCGCAGGGCGTGCCGGCGCTGAGGGCAGAAGAGGCGCCGTAATTGGTTGGGAATCAAGGCGGAAGTGACGTCGGAGCATGTGTTAACTGAGGACGGAAACGCTCCGTGACTGGCTGGGAGGAACCCAGGGCAGAAGTGACGTCAGGGCTTGCCGGCACTGAGGGCGGAAGCTGTCGGGCCGGACCGGGACGCCGAGGCGCGGTGCCGCAATGAGGCGAGGTTGGTGGTCGGTGCCGCCCCGGAGCGGGCCGGGCCGGGCCGGGAGGGGGCGAGGTGGCAGGCGGTCGGCGGCTTGTGCTGAAATGGCCCTTGTGCTGGGCGGAGGCGGCGCCGCACCGGACCGGACCGGGCGTGCGGCGGGGTCTGCGCTGCGCGGGGCTTCGGGGGGCTGGGGGGGAGGAGGCAGGGGAGAGGGGGGCGGCTGCGGCGGGCGGGGGGGGGGGGGTAGGCAGAGAGGGCAGCAGGAGGAGCTGCGGTTGTGTGCGCGTGGCCGACGCCCCTCTGGGTTGGTTGGGCTGCTCCGTCCCGAGGCATGCTGGGAGCTGTAGTTCTGCGCTGCCGGGCGGCCACGCGGGCTCCGGGCTTTCCCCGGGCCGGGGCCGGGGCCGGGCCGTGCGCGCCGGGAGGCGCAGGTTGCCGCTGGCGGCGAGCGCGGTTGCTGGCGGTGAGGCGAGCGAGAGCCTCCGGGGGTGCCTCTTCGGACCGTCGGGCCGGGAGGGGTGAGGGGTGTTGAGGCCGGGCGCGGGTCCTCGCTGCGCTTGAGCGTTGGGCTGCGCCGCGCCTCGGAGGCTTTCCTCTCCCTGCGTCCTGACAGCCGGCTCGCTCCTTGTGCTGCGGTTCACCAGGGCAGAAGCAGCTCCCCGCCGCTAGGACCCCTGCGGGGTTTGTTGCCGAGCGAAGGCGGCGCACCGGGTAAACCGAGGAAAGCCGCAGCTGGCGTGCTGGGGTCGCAGGGCTCTCAGGAGAGAGAGCAGCCCGTCCGTCCCGACTGCACAGGTAAGTCGCAGCGACCTCGGGGTGGAATCAAGGCGTGCTCGTAAGCTTCCTGCAGCCCCGGCTCAAAGGCTTCATTGAATTTGCAGAAGCGCGAGCTGCTCGGAGCTGGGAAGCACAAAGGGAAGCCACGTAGTGCCTGCTGAGTCGTAGTAGCTTCTTAGACCTAGAATGAATTGGCGTGTCAGGCTCTGTCTGTTGCTCAGTCTTTGGTACGAGAGGCTAAACTTTGTCCCGCCTCAGCTTTCAGAGTTGTCCTAGAAATAGACTGGTTCTTGCGGGGCTTTCCAGAACGCTGGTTGCGGTCAGTCAGGACAGACGTGAGAGGCAATTTCTGTCTGTCTATTGGTTATGTCCCAAGAGCTTTGCTTGAACTGTGTGCAATAAAGGAGGCCTTGGGCCTGTACTGAGCAGCAAGAGAGAGCAAAACACCGTGTAAGCACTGGCCGTGGCAACGTTGCTTGGGAGTTGAGCGGCTGGGGGTCTTTCCAGAGGTGGGGGTCTTCCCAGTGGAACTCGGTACGCAGACAGAAACGTGACCTTCAAGGTCTTTGTTTGTCTTGTGTTGCAGCTGTGGTTTTTGACCCATAACTGTATGGAGTTGCTGAATTCTAGAGGGGATGATAGAGACATCCCTGGTTCAGCCTTTTTTGCCACAGTCCTTGCAGAAGTTCTGGAAAAATGAGTAGTATCCTTCTCTTTAAGTTCACCTTTTAAATAATTCACCTTTTAAAGTGTTCTTTCTGCAGACTCCTGTCTGTGGTTTAGGTACTTGATTTGTGTGAAACAGAGCCAGACTTTCCTGTTAACGAGTGCCCTGATTGAAATTCCCTGTTGTTGGAGAACAAGAACCATCAGTGGTGCTTGGCAGTTTAAAACCTCTTGGCTTATGCAAAGGCTAACTTGCCAAAGCAAATGGGAAGTAGCCTAAAGTTCAGTAAATGTGCTGAATAGAAAAGGCCGTCTTCTTGACGGGAAAAGAGCTTTGCAGAACATGAGCTCTGTTTCCCGTAGGGCTCTCTGCTTACCCAGCTGTTCAGCGATTACTGCAGGCTTTGACTGGTCCTCTCAGGCCCAATATGGCACACATGCTGTGCTGCAGACGGTACCTTAGCTTCCTTGCCGTCTCGTGCTGCGTTACTTGTACCTGCAGAAAACTTACTTCAGTGTCACAGAAACCCCGTGGGAAGCGTTCCTGACTCATGCCAGTAGGACCATCCCGTTGTGGCTGGTAAAATCCAGGAGCAGGACGATGCTTGGAAAAATGTAACCTATGGAGGAGAAGACAACAGTCTCCTGTTAGGCAACAGGTTTTCAAGACTGGTTTCCCCACCCCCCCCTGTGCATTTTGAAGGAGGTAGTCCCTAAGCTGATGCAATCCAACTGCATCTAAGATGCAGGTTGTTACTTCCAAAAGCTATAAAGGAACTTAATGTGTTCTGTGTTTTTTTTTTATTGTTGTGTTTTGTTTTAAATTGAGGCTTGTGTGTGTGAGTTTGGCTTGTTGCAATGGCTGGTGTAGATGATTACTCACATGCCCCAAAGCTCTTTGTGCTGGTGCTGGATCTGCCCCATGGTAAAGGACCGCATGCTGTGTGTTCAGCTTTTCTTCCTTACCATGTTATCCGTATGTATGTATTTACTTCTCTGAAGGAAAGGGTGGATTTTTCATGGGTCTCTCTGTGCGCGTCTCGAAACAGGCTGCAGTA